TTCGTAGTGGATACAACTGGATCAGGCCTCGTAGTTTTTTCCCTTTTGCGGCTTTCCACATAAAAATTTTCTATTCTTATTCCTTTTATTTGTGCGTACTGAATTTTTGTACTGTGCTAAGACGTAAAATATATACTCTACCGACTCAAATTTTCTAACATATAACAAGTGTGAAAACCTAACTTAGTTTTCAAGTAGGGTCTTGAGTAAGTACCATAGCTATTTTTATTCCAATAAAGCAGGAACATATCTATTACATGTCTACCTCAACAAGTGCTTGCACTTTAGCATCATATCCCTCTAATTCTTCAGTCCAGTGCCTCCAAACACAATCAAAGTTGAAAAAGCTATTGCATCTTACTAAAACTTAAATGTTTACTGTTACATATGCTCTAAAAAAAATAGACAAAAAGTAGTGTTGTGAATTGAGAATCTCTGATCTGATTTTTACTTGAAAATCACAGCTGAAATAAAGTTTATAAGGCATTTAAGCTTTATTTAGAGCTAAATACGGCTTCCTTTAGATTCATTATTATGTGCGGTCAGGGAGGGCATTCGGAAACGAATAAGTGCGCGTCACGTTATTTTTTTATGAGTAATGCTCAATATCGGGTGACGCGGTGCCATGAGCGGACCCCAATGTGTTGAGGGGGGCAAATGCCCACCCTAAAAAAAAAAAGATTGGATATTTTAGAATATTTTGGGTGTTTTGGGCATTTTTCCCCTCTACAATTTTTTTTTTCCCTAATTTTATTAATCCCAAGCGTCTTTGTCCATCCCCCACCAAAAATTTTTTTTTATCCACCCTAAAAAAAGAAGCTGGATCCGTCCCTGCGTGGCGCGCTCTCATTTGTCTCTGAATTGCCCGGTGACCGCACAAAATAAATTATCCTTCATTTAAGACAATTTTCTTACTGCTTCCTGCATCAAATCTTTAGTATAAAACTTTCTTAAAAATAGCAGAAAAAAAAAAGTGGCATGGGAAAATCTGCTAAAGCAGATTTATTCAAATATTGAATTCAGAAACAATCCCACCAAATAATGGATTTTTATCTGTTTCCAAACATGCTTTGCAGGCACATACAGCCAATGGGGCCTAAGCGGAATAAAAAGGCTTTGTTTTTTTTTTACGAAAATATTTTTTAAAGAACAATGGCAACAATTTAAATATTTAGGTGGAAATCACATTCTTTTAAATAAATTAAGTCAGTCGATATATAATTTTCATCTTTGATCGATTTGTCTTATGCTGCTAGTTTTATGTATTTTTGTATAAACGCATAATAATTTATTAAAGATTAAATATTCAATCTATGATAAACAAAAAAAAATGTGATAGTTTTATATTTCTCATGAATTTTTGTTTGATTGGTGTTGACATGCTAACAATCATGATTTTTAATATAAAATTTTAGGACATTTATAATTGAGTTAGAATTTTCAATAATTAATTTTGAGATTACCAATATTTTATTTTTAAAAAAATTATACTAAAAACAATTAGGTTTGCATGACAACACAAACCCATCTACATTAAGAACATCTATATCTAAGTCAAAATTAGACTAAGGTTTTGTTTTGGACGATTTTCTTACTGCTTTGTAAAACTGTTTTTTAAGTACAAAAATTTATTAAAAGCGGAAAAATGGTGGTCTAAAGCTGCGCCAAATGAATCTTGTACAGTTTTCTTACTGCTTTCTAATGTAACTTTCCAGTACACAAAATTTTTTGAATTAAAAAACTGCTTTAAAAACATCAAGAGAGTATTTCCAAACGAAACATAAATCAAGTGATTATAAGCATAATTCAAAAATTAATGAGTCCATTTGCAAGCTAGTCGTTTTTTGAATTTTATATGCTTATAATTGAAACGATTGAGTCCAATATTAGACAATTATGTGTTTATCAATATATTTAGATGTCATAAGAATGCAAAATGATCAAGTGAATTTTCTTGGCTAATCTAATTGATATTTATAGATAATTATATACATAATCATTGTCACCTTTGAAAGTTGCATATAGCGAAATTAAAAGATCGAAAAATTACAATATGGTACAAATATGTATGTAGACTACTATGACAATCTTCCTCCCTCAACAAAATAAAAAGAGAAGAGAGTCATTGCCACCCAGTGTCAATAGTATATCAACATCAATGTTGATCATCACAAGCTTTGGACACCAGGTGTCGAAATATTTTGATGTCTATCGTCATCGCTACCGCAATATGATATTTATTAGCCATTGATATCCAATATAAAGCTTTCCGGTCAATTGATCTCCCTCATATCAAGAGAAAGATATAGCCAATGATTTAAGATAAGCGAACGTCTATTTTTATCTATGAATCCTCACTCTATTAAAACAGTTTTTTGGTACAAAATTTAAAAATTTTGAACTAGAAATCAGCTTTAAAAAACAATAAAAAAGCTGTCTCAAACGAAAATTTTTGTACTAAAACTTCATTTTAGAAAGCAATAAAAAAGCCGTCCCAAACGAAGCCTAAGACTTTGATCCCTTAAAAGTTCTAATACCATTATCTGAGATGCATCTCATGATTAATGTTACTACACATTATAATGAATAACATCATTTATAATATTTAACTCATACTAATGAATTTATTTTCAATTATATTATGTTTATATATTTTTTATTATTAAATTGATCACATAAAAAAAATCTCATGTCTCATATGTATTATTCTCAACTTATTAGTATAAATACATAATCTTTGTACGTACAACTCTAATATATCTCAATTATTAGGAATATTGAAGCAATTATTAGATGTGATGTTTAACAAACTATGCAAAATTAAAATTCTTTAAACAAACGATGCAAAGTAAAAATTCTTCGTGAATATTAAAAAAGGAGTTTTATAAGCCAAATAACTATTTAAAGCGATCTATGTAGAGTAGCAAGTCAAATATATCATTCATGAGGATGACATTAACGGACAAATTTCAGTAGTTTAAAGTATTTTGTGATCTCATTTTCTTTTACTCCAGATATTGTCTGATCACCTTTCCTTTTCTTCTAAAGAAAAAAATATAGAGGTTTAGGCTTCGTTTATTTTTTTGGTGCTTTTGTAAAAGACAGTTTTAAAAAACATTAGTTCAGAAAATGGAGTTTTGTAACGGAGAAGCATATATAAAAAGCTTTATCAAAACTGCAGAAAAATGAAAAAGAAATAGTTATTGGGAACGTGATTTGACAAACCAAACAACACAAAAAAAATTCCTCCATTTCCAAAAACGGAAAAGGCAAAAAAACGCTCAAACAAATAAAGCCTTAGTTTGTGATGACTTTCTTACTGCTTCTTAAAGCTATTTTGTAGTATAAAAATTTTAATTTGTGTACTAAAAAACTGTTTTAAGAAGCAATAAGAAAGCAGTTCCAAACGAAGCTCGAATCTCTTACCATCTTCAAAATTTGATCATTCAACTAAAATTACGATTGAGATAGCTTTCTTAAAATTTTGTTTTTAAGATTGCATTCATAATTTTTATTTAATCATTATTTTTTTCCAATGCTTTTAATGACTTTTTATGATATAAAGCTACTTTTTAAGACAATTTTCTTTTTAAAATTGTTTTTTCGCAATAAATTTACAAACATATTTATTAAAAGCTGCAGCCGTCTCAAATGGGACAGCTATAACGATTCGTTTGGGAAGGCTTTCTTATTGCTTATCAAAATAACTTTTTAATTAGTACATTTTTTTTAATTTTTTTACTTAAAAACTGCTTTAAAAAGTAGCAAAAAAGCCGTCCCGAAGGAATTCTAAGATTTCATATGAGATGCCTTTTTATTGTTTCTTAAAACAACTTTTTAATTTTTTACTAAAAAAATGCTTTAAGAAACATAAGAAAGCCGCTCATCTCTTAAGAAGCAATAAAATTAATGCTGACTACAAAGCTTTCTAACACCGCAATATTTAGATCTTAAGATTTAAAGATTGTGGTGTTGCTGCTCGTCTTTTAAAACCAATACGCATTAATTTTATTTTTGCTGCAATTAGATCCCTAATTAAGTAGTGCTTTGATATATTTTCATGGATAACATGGATCCAATATAATAGGGAAAAAAATTAATAGGAGTCATAAAATTAATTTTTTTTTTGGGGGACATCCTATATAAGATAAATATATACATATAACATATATATAAGATTAAAATTTAAGACCTAATAAACGAAAAATTATTTTGTATGGAGATCGGACGGAGAATTATGTCCGGAGATCAACCAGAATGCACCGCGTTAGTAGTACCCAACCACGGTACTGAACAGTACCGAGGCACAATACAGACTACCGAGCAAGATATAAGTGACATGACGTATTCTAATTAGTCTCCGAATGATGTCAGTATCCGCACATAATAACTTTTCCTAATAAACAAATCAAGTTGAGTTAGGTATATAAGTTTATCAGTACTTAAAGAAGTACACACCAAACAGCCTAGATTATCTCCAATCTCCAAAGTCTAATCTCTACTCTTTGTTTGTTGATTTTGTACATGTTTTGCAATTTCCGCGGAGTACTGATTTGTCCTCCGATCCAACGCTCAATGTTGGATAAGACGGTAGGGTTAGCTATTTCTGTACTAATTTCTACTTTATCCTATCCTGAAAGGGATAGGAATTCTGATATCGCATCGACTTTATATTCATTCTCTACTATTAAAGTTTCTTTCTTGTGATATCTCCGGTCTATACTTATTTCTCTCAATGTTTACTGTTCTTATCGTAGGCTATAAGTAGCAGATATTTATTTTAGTTTTTTTGTGATCCATGGAGGGAGGCATGTGCTGAAATAGTTAAAAAGTTATAATTTTGATTAGACCTACAGTAAAAATTGAGAGTGCCAGCCGTCTCCTCATTCAGAGGCGAGGGCGAGAAGGTATTGAAAGTTACGTGGAGGAAGAAGACACGGAAAAGGGGGAAAGGTTGCTTTATTGAAAGGTATTGCTTTTAGTTTTGGATGCTATAGCTAGCTCTGCTAGGACTGACTTATTGAGTGTGTTTGTTGGGCGACTTGGAGATCTAGTGCGTAATGAGTCAATAATGGGGTTTTGGGGTGTGATTCTTTACTATTATTCGCAACGTATTGCTGCTTCAGTTGATCTTGAAAGCAAAAATTGGGATCCCTGGTTGTTTTAGGGGTAGAGGGATGGGATCTGTGGGTTGAAGTCAAAAGCTGCTCTTTTTTGCTTCTTTCTGATTTTGCTTTCAAAGCTGTATTATTTTGTTTTGGGGGCATTGTTTTAGATGGGAATGTTATTTGGATCTTCAACTATTTTACTTGTTAAGAACACTGGCTATATATCTGTTAGAAACTTTCTGCTGGCGTTGAAGTAATGCTTTTATTGGCATGATTTTTAAGGTAAGAGTTGTATAGTTTTCCTACTTCAATCCTCGCTTATGGTTGGCCTTGTGAGTTTTCTTTAACTGTGTATAATGATTTCCTCACTGTTTGGGAGCTTAGAGGTTTCTTTTTGTTGTAGTTCTTTTGGGTGATTTAGGTGAAGTACGCATGAGGAATTATGTCTGTTTTACAAAGTCTGTTGCTTTTTGCCCTTTGCAGGAAAAAAACGGCGCACAAGCTCTTTTTCTTGGATCCTTTCTGCTAAGATGGACTGGAATTTGAAGGCTCCGTTGCAGTGGGAGTGGGAAAATCTGGCCTTGTTTTCTGGGAAAGAAAATGAAATAACGAAGTTTACAACACAGGTTGAATGGAGGGCTGAAGATGGTGGCGTAATCAGTAATGGATCTGTGTATTCATCAGGGAGTGGAACTTCTTCTGGCTCAGAACTTGGTAATGGTTCATCCAAAAGTTCAATCTCTGCATCTGTTGGCTCTTCATCAAAAGTTGGAGCTACTATATCAGAGTTGAACTTTGAAGCAATTGAAGGCTTACATCAGAATCTGAACAAGAATAATATGCCGTTCAGGGGTGAAGATACTGGAACGTCTCCAGTGATAGTTGGAAGAAGTGGTGCTGGGGAGCCACCTATAGGTCTAAAACTTGGCAAAAGAACTTATTTTGAAGATTTTGGCACCGCAAACGTCAAGACATCTTCGGTTTCTATCACACCAGATGATCCTTCTTCTGTTAAGAAGTCTCGTCTATCTCATCAGGCCTCTCAGAATACTTACTGCCAGGTTGAAGGGTGCAACATTGATTTGATTGGAGCAAAAGATTATCATCGTAAGCACAGAGTATGTGAAAACCATTCTAAAAGCCCTAAGGTTATAATTGCCGGTCAAGAGCGACGTTTTTGTCAGCAGTGTAGCAGGTATAGTTCCTTGCATTTGTTGCTGAAAGCAAATTATTATAGCTCATTTCCATTATTTTGTAGATGTAATTTTGTTTGATATTGAAGCCAATCAAGAAGAACTGATGTGATTGTTATGCATGGGATTTCTTTGTGCGCCTCATTTAGATTTAGGCTTTGTTTGGGATGGCTTTCTTACTTCTTCTTAAAGCAGCTTTCTAGTACAAAATATTTAATTTTTGTATTAAAAAGCTATTTTAAGAAGCAGTAAAAAGCCATCTCAAACAAGCCTCAAACTACTGTGTTCTTGATACTGGTGGCCTAAAAAAATTTATAGATTGTCAAGAGATACACACATCGACAGGGAATTGAGATATAACTATCATTCAAATTGGATTTTATTTTAGTGAGCTAGTGAAACCTCCCTGAATTTATAGGATATGGCTTAGTTTCTTTTGTCTATGTTCATTTCAATTATTTCTTGATGCGGCTTGACTCAACATCCAGTTTTATGGATTTTGGTTTTTTTTGCATTTGTTTAAGGTTCCATGATTTGTCTGAGTTTGACCAGAAGAAAAGGAGCTGTCGGAAGCGCTTATCTGAACATAACTCACGGCGGCGCAAACCACAGCCTGAAGCAATTTCATTTAACTCACCGGTTCTTCCTTCTTCATTTTATGGTATGGAACTGTCTTTCATATGTTTTGTTTAATTAAAATCCTCAAATGATTAGTGCTAATGGTTTTTTTATTTTGTCTGATACTAGTTCATAGCCTATACTGTGATTTTATGTTATTGTATTTACATCTTGAACCAAATAAATTTTCTCTGAGCTGATATATTACTGTTAGAATATTTGTTGCATGTGGTCACTGAAGGTGAACTTCATTATTTTGTAACTTACTCGTGCATTCCTTTTTTGAATATGAGCTTAAGTAATCGAACGAAGTATTTCAACCACTTATGTCTGGTAAGGTTATTTCAATTCATGCTCTTCATCTATAACTTTAACTGAGGGAAAAAGAGTTAATATCTTCTTATGAGCATGGCAGCTTGCTCAAATTCATGGCAAAGAAAGGTGTGTTTGTTTCTGATTGTTTCTGAATGTATGCTGCTCCCGCTTAAAAGTCTTTGGCTATTTAGATGCAAATCAATCACGGGCGGATCCCCGCTCAAGTCAAGGTGGGCAAATGCCCACCCTCGAACAAAAAAATGTGGGAAATTTATATACATATCACTTTATTTTATATTATTTACATTTTTAACATCTAAAACTTTAATATTATATGTCTGCCACCCATAGAACAAATATGAGTGAATGGAATGAAATATTAAAGTTTATAGGGTGGTATGAGTGATAAGAATGATATATATGAGTTATATATTTGAATTAAAATTTTATATGAGTGGTGAGAATGCAATATTAAAGTTTTGAGTGTTAGATATATAAATAGCATGAAATAATGTGGTATTTATGTAAATCTCCCAAAAAACTAATGTATAGGAGGGGCAATTTTGGAATTCTGTCCCCCTAAAAAAAAAAATTGCCCTAATTTTATCAATCCCGCGCGTGCCTGCCCATCTGAACCACTTGCACTTTGCAGTTCGCAGCCACGTTCCCGAATGTCTTTGTAGTTCGCAGCCACGCTCGTGAATTATTTTATTATTATTACTATTTGATGTTATTATTTTATTTTACTTTATTTGGTTATTATTATTGTTGTTGTCTAATTAATTAAAATCTTGCCCATCGTGAATAAAGAAGCTGAATCAGCCCCTGAAATCAATGCCTTTTTTTTTTCTTGCAATTGTTCTTTTGTGTATTCTTTTTTTATTCTGCATTGTCTGTTGATTGATGCCTCTGAATATTATCTTTATTGTTTAGTCAACACGTGGCTTCATATTGCCTAGCCATATTATTTATGTTGATGGGCTGCTGAGAGTTGTGTGGTTATCAGGTGCAATTCTGTCTTAACAGAAGAAATGGATTTTTGTTTGGTGATCTTTGTTGACTACTTAATGCACTTATGCATTTTCAAATGTAAATTGATTTGATTATTAGTACTGTTTTACAGGCAGTTACTGAGCTCATAAACGAGCCTACTTTATTCATATCCTTGCTCGGAAATCTAAAGATATTGAGCTAACTGGAATGCTGGAGGAAATTTATTGAAAGGAAATGTAGTTGTAGTCATTAACTAACTTTAAAACACTAGATGACCAATTTTTGTAATATTAATCTGTTCTTGTAGCCTGGGAGATTTTCTTACATCTTGCTTTTCAGCCTTTAATTCTATTTAAAACAGGGAATTTTTGGTTAACTTTGATATAAGGAGAGAAAGATTCCATGCTATTATTAGTTATAATTCTATTTATTGGAATTGGAAAGTCAGAGGTAGGGGGGCTTGGGGTGGGTGGTTGAGGTGGGTGGTTGAGGTAGGGAATAGGTGCGGTTGTAGTGATGGTGGTTTCCATGTTGTCTACAGAAGAAAACAAAACCTCCTTGATAAGAGATTCTAGGAAAGTATTTCCACATCCACGAAACTTTCCCTTCTAATTTTGTTTAATTGTGTCCTTCTGCATGTATCTCATTTACTAAGAATGATATGGAGTTGTTTCTTGCAGTGAAGCAAGTGTAGTATATCCTGTTTTTCTGAGATGCACTGCATGTAGCTCTCAAGCCATATACCTGAAAAAATAAGGGTGTTTAATATGCGAGTGGCATAATTTATATAAATTGTTAGGATTGGTCCAGTTTTATATTAAGTCATTCTGCAAGATATCACACTTACGTAAATACCTATATATAAATGCCATTGGTTGATGTACAATTTGGGGAAAATTGAATAAAGCTTTAGAAAGATTTTTCTCCTAAAATCTGTCATCTCGCCGTCTCCTCCCTTCTATCTCTCCCTCTATCTTGCAAGAAGATCAAGAAGAGTTCAAGAGCTCTTCCCAATTTTATAACAAATGGTATTAGAGCCTGGTGGAGGCGATTGACGAGTAGAAGGGTTCTTGTCCAAGAAGGGAAAGGAGAGGTTGGCGATTGGGCAAGGCAAGGGCTCGCGATTGCGAGCTGTAGCTAATCCGATGTCTCCATCTCGGTCATGAGCTCACGATCGCCTTGAACGGTAATGTGAATGAGCTTCTTGATGGCGAAGACAACGACCTTATTGCAGTGTCAATGCTTGCTAATGTAGAAGTCTTCTTGGTACCATTGGCATCAAAGGCGGAGGGCTTGAAGGCGGAGGAGGAATCTTCATAGAGGATCTCACGGAGCATAAAGGAGACGTCCTTATTGGAAGGGCGGTCATCGGGGCGGCACTGGCAGACCGGGGGATGGCGGAAGAACTGAAGAAATAGTCAACATAGGTGTTTCTTCTTGGAGAAGTTGCGCTGGAGGTGAAGTCGATGGAGGTTGCTGGCAGATCTTGAAATATTTTGTGGTTAAGCTTGGCACCAATGAGGACATAGAGAACAAAGGTGCAAACGAACAACTGAGCGCTTGGCACAGAGAGTCTGTCTATTAGGGTATGAAGCGATATTTGAACAATGACAGAAGTTTTGTTGTTGGGTCATCAATGTAGTTAGGATTTGAACAAGATCTGGACAATTGCAAGAGTGTTGAAATATGGGCGATTCTAGTCTTAAATGAAATAGCAACTTAATTGTAAGATCTAGTGGGAGAGACGGGCAATTGGCAAGCCTGGATAGGGGAAGAACAGTGGCAGAAGATGGCATTTCTTAAATCGAGCAGTCGAAATTCATGTTGATCTGGAAAGCTGAAGGCGCCACGGGATGATCTTTCTCAACAAGAGCATAATTGATACGCTTTTGAGCATTTGGAGCAGTTGATTCACTCCATAAATTTTAGAAAGAAAGTTGAAAGAGAAAAGGAAAACTGGACAAGCACGCGTTTGTGTACAGGAGCAAACGGATAATGTGGGAGAACACAGTTTCCCGACAGGCAGGCTTGGAGCAGGCTGAACGCTCACAGGGGCATGTGTAGGAGCTAACGGGCATGGAGGAGGCTCGGTTTCGCGGTTAGGCCATGAAGCACGAACGGCCGCTAATCATGCAAGTGTGAAATAGACGCTGGCATTCTGTTCGAGAGAAATTGTGTGGACCAGTCACCGGGGTGCGGAGGCAGGGTGATGCGCATGTTTTCGAGCGAGATAGACGTGCAGAAGCCACATGGTTGGAGACGCACGCGGATTGTGTGTGTGCATTTCACTCGGGATTGGACGGCATGGACGCGTGGTGTTGCACGTGAGTTGGACTTCGGGTGTAGTCCATGAAGAAATGGGGAGATGAAATATGAATATTGTTCTTGATGGAAGCAGGTGAGTAGTGGCTCTCGGTCAACAGGGAAGCATGAAAATCCGCCGCAAGGTGGAGGTGCAACTACTAGGAGGTGACCGGTGGAATGGAGAGCAAGGTGTTGTTGCTTGATCAAAGACAGTAAGATAACATTCAAGATTTCTCTTCCATTTTTTTTTTTTTTTTCATTGTAACATATGATTCAAGGTGAAGATTGTTAGGATTTGTCCAGTTTTACATTAAGTCGTTCCGCAAGATTTCATACCAATGTAAATACCTATATATACATGCGATATGTTGATATACAATTTGGAGAAAATTGAATAAAGATTTAGGAAAAATTTCCTCCTAAAATCTGTCATCTCTCTCTCCTCCCTTCTATCTCTCCCTCTCTCTTGCAAGAAGATCAAGAAGAGCTCGAGAACTCCTCCCAATTTCTTAACATAAATTCATGTTGAATATGGCAAGCACAGCGAGGCAGTCTCGTGTTGGAGCATTGCAAGGCTGCTGCTTACTATTGCCCATATGCCAAGGTGGTCGTTCACAATGGCATAAGCATGAAAAAAAAAAAACAAGAGAAAGCATGACCAGATTTGTTCCCAGGGGACCTCAGCACTCTTTTTTTTCTTCTGCCCTGCCCTTGGCAACACAAATCCTCTCCTTTCCCCAATACACAGAAGGTAGGAATGTAGGATCCATCGGCGAAAGCGGGTACTTTAGACTTGTATGATCTTTTTGCATTCATTCCTGAGTTTTTCATGTTTGAAAACTTTTTCCTGTTTCTTACGTTGATGTAGCACTAAAACTTCAATGCTCTCTCTCTCTCTCTCTCTCTCTCTCTCTCTCTCTCTCTCTCTCTTCTATCAAATATTTTTATGGTCCATCCAGCTCTGGATGCCACACTGGTCAGTTTGGAAGTAAGAACTATCCAAAAACAACAAATTTTTCAATTTGCTTCACAGCATGAATGCCATGAACTATTCTAGATACCAAATTTGTCAGTTTTAGAGTATATATATATATATTCTTATATTTAGCATCTATCTGTTTGTTCTACCAACTATGAAGGTCTCGGACTTGTGTACAGATTATGCTATATGCTATAAGGTTGCATGTGCACCGGCATACAAGCAGACATGCTTTAAAGCCAATTTTTCTGATTAATTTTCTCAAAACTGAAACTAATTTATTGGATGCAGCAAATGGACAACAAATGAACTTTTTTCTAAGTCGAGGTCCAGTTAGTAATGTAAGGCCTTCGGCAAGTTCCTTGTGGGAAAAATCATCTGGCTTTAGCCTTTCAACAACAGAAGGATCTTGGCCTAAACCAACCAAAGCAAGTGTTGATGGAGCATTGCATTTGCCTTTTATGGATTTCTCTGATACCTTTCCTGCATCACATCACGGTTTCAATAGAACTATACCATTCAAGGGCACCACTGCTGAGGTCCTTAGTCAAGGTAATCTCTTATATTTTATATAATAGTTATGCCTCTTTGGACTTTCTGCATAGATTTGATTAATGTACCATGCACCATGGACTGCTGTGAATTTTACGTCTTTTACTTAATTTTATGATTGTTCCAATAAGGTTGTTTCATATTGGGAATACGAATTGCCACATGATTGCGAGGGCCTTTTATCTTTTCTAGTCTTCATTTATCTTGGCTTTTCTTTGTTTTGATGTAAATGTAATTTTGTTACATCAGTGATGTCAAAATCGGGCCACGGGTCGGGTTCGGGACCAACCTGGAATTGACCCGGCACTGTTCGACCCGACCCGAACCTTATCCGTTTTTTCAAATGGGTCAGTTTTTCGAACCCGAACCCGACCCACTTCGGGTATATTTTACTAAAAATTTTTTAGTTAATTTGATTTAATTAAACCTTAATCAAATCAAGGTAAGATTTACTTCATTCAATTTAAAATAAATCAGACTTAATTCAATTTGGGCAATATGATTTATTATTTTTTGGAAATAGCATTTACTTATTTCATAACAATATTTTAAAACCCTCCTAAATTAATTAAAAATGGGTCAAACCAACTATTTCGGATTTCCGGGTCAACCCGAACCCGAACCGGTTTTACAAATGGGTTGAATCCCTAACCCAAACCCGACTCGATTCGGGTTCAGGTTGACTTGAACCCGAAATTTTTGGGTCAGGTTTTCGGGTCGTATCAAATATTGGCACCCCTTGATTCATGGATACTTTGAATTGAAAACTAGTCTCACTTGAATATGCAATTAAAACCTAAGTGGACAAACTTCACCTTCCTCCTGCAGGTCGAAGAAAGTTGCAATTTGTTGTCTGTTTTTCTGAGTTCTGATTTTCAAAATTTATACCGGTTAAGATATGTGGTTGCTTGTTCTTCTATGGTTAGTTTGATAGTTTACACCATCAATTTTGCCATCCAAGTTACATACTGTGTTATGACAACTTTGTCTGGAGTTCCAAAAAAAAAAACTTTGGAAATACATATGATTTTAACTTTATATTCCATATCAATTCAGGACACAATGGCGAAAAAGGATTCATGTAGCTAACCCCACGTAGTGGGACAAAGGCTTGATGTTGTTGTTGTATTCCATATCAATTGTGGGTGTTAATCACTTTCATAGTCTCATTCCTTTCACCTCACTTCCACCTCTCCCGAGTTTAACTGAGAGTATGCTAAACTTCCTCTTCTAGCTGAAGGAAAATGATTTCTTCTGTCAAGCAACCACTCTTTTATGCTTGCTACAAACATCTCTGCTTGAGCAATGAGCACCTTGGTTTTCTTAAGCAAGTCTTAACTGCAATCCTGCAAGTTGGCTTTAGTCTGCAGTTACTAGCTTTTAAAGTTTTATCTTTGACCTTACCAATTGTATGTGTTTATAGAGAGAATTGCCGCGCTAGAAATCTAATTGTTTCTTTTTCTAAGAAATTTAATTCTAGTGACCGCCTTCATGATTATGCCAAGCTTCCAACTTCTAATGGTTTACCAAGATATTTTAAAGAAAACCATTTTGAGTTAATATGACAGTAGCATGATCACTTTGGCACTTTTTTATTCTTTTTAGGTACCAATTTGCTTCATATTCAGTGATGTGTTTTACCATATCAAGTGAGTTGAGAAGCAAGAAAAAGTGTTGAAAACAAATATAAAGTGTTTTAAAAGAAAGAAAAAAAACTTCTAAAAATTTGCCTAAGGCTCAATAGTTGACATACAAATTTATTTCCTTGGTGCTTTCACCCAGCGGATTAATCAAGATTTAGAGGTAAATGGGATGAAAAGGCCGGCAATTTTCATATAATTCATTTTTGGCTTTACCCTTAGAGATAGGATACGAAATGAGCATATACGTGAAAAGGTTGGAGTAGCACTAGTGGAAGATAAGATTAGAGAGAATAGTCTTAGATGGTTTTGTCACATTAAACGGAGGCCTTCCGATGACCTTGTTAGGAAAGTTGAGGTATCATATTTGACTTATGTTAAAAAATGTAGAGGTAGACCTAAAAAGACTTGGTCAGAAAATATCAGAAATGATCTTTCTTTATTAGATTTAAATGAGAATTTGACTTTTAACATGACACAATGGTGAAAAAGTATTCATGTAGCCGACCCCACGTAGTGGGACAAAAACTTGATGTTGTTGTATGCATGGAAGAAACTTTCATGTTATACTTAACCACAAGAGTTTATTCCAATCCTTTGGGGCAAGAACCATCTACAAACACACCTGATCACCCCCCCCACCACCCCCAATTTTACAATACAACCCTTGTACTAATATTGTTTTGAACATCTATGTTTCTTCAGGTCTGGAAGCTTCTGTCTCAACTTCCAACTTGAATGGAGCACCAGACCTTCGAAGTGCTCTCTCTCTTCTGTCAAACGATTCATGCGGTCCCTGCAACACTGGACAGAGCAATATGATCCAATTTGCAAGGACTAACCCCACTGTGGCTTCTCATCCTCCAGTTCCTGCTTCTACCTCCCTACCAGAATGTTGGCATGACGACCATTCTCTGACTGAGCAAGCTCTGGCTTTCAATTTCAACGGTTCTGGAAGTCACTTCCAAGAGTTCCATCTCAGCAAAGCTCCATTTGATAGCCCTTTATTTGAAAGCAATCAGGTTTTTTCAAAGTCAGATGGTCACTTCCTGGGGTTCAAGACCTGAATGGCTTGCTGCTTTTACTGCTCTCTAAGGCTTCGTTTGGGACGGCTTTCTTACTGCTTCTCAAAGCAGCTTTTTAATTCAAAAGTTTTAATTTCTGAACTAAAAAATTATTTTAAAAAGCAGTAAGAAAGTTGTCCCAAACGAAGCCTTAGTTTTGACAACTTTTTATTGTAGCACTTCTACTTCCTGATTAATTACTGAACTGAATTTGATCTATGACTATTCAGAACTTGTTGTTCTGTTATTTTATGAGAGAATAAAGCATGGTTGAGAACAATTTTTTTGCTTTTAGTGCTTCTGGTTCCATTGAAGGTGATGATGAAAATATAAATGATAAAAGAGGGTGAGGATATCTGAATTTTTGAACTTTTGACTTTATTTTGAAATTTGTGTGATATAAAATTGATTGATTATTTAAATATTATATTTATGTTAAATTAAATTTAGGGTTTTGAATTCATGATGAAATTTTGGTATGATATCCTCACCCAAATTTCTATTATAGTCCAATGTTGATGTGCATATCTTTTAATAAATTGATATTGTCATAGTTTTGAAAATATAAGGGATGTGTGTTTTTTTAAATGTCTCAATTAAAAAAATAAAATAAATAGGGATATCAAGATAAAAAAATGTTATTTAATATTGAGAAATTTATGAAAATGTAATTAAATTCATATATATTTATATGCCAAATAATTAAAGTTTTGTGTTTATTTATGTACGATGTTTTAATTTTTAAATTATATAAAGACATTATTAATATTAATTTATTTAAAATAAAATATATATTTTGATGTGATTTAAATATTATAATATTGTATAAATATATATAATTTGAATACTTGATATATAAATATATAAAAATTTTATGATAGGTTAAATCCTCTTTGTATTTCTTTACTAATAGGTATGATCAATTGGAATATGGTTCCATAAATAATTTCAATGACTAAAATATCAATTATAATTGCCACCCAATCCTTCAAATTTATGACTTAGTGGCACAGTAATTTATTATTTTTTTTCTAAAATTAATGTCATTTAATTTTGTGTCAGAAACTTTTTCTGAACGTTTTGCGCATCACCAACGGTTTTTGCGTTCTACCATTGATTTTTACACGATAAAACATTCAAGCCAGCTGCAGTGGTTTTTTTTTTTATTTTTTTATTTTATAAAGCCAATTTATTGCTATGAGCAAACGTGACGTTTATCAAATGCATGAGACTAATAAGGCATCTTTGGGACAGTTTTCTTATCGCTTCTTAAAATGATCTTTTAATATAAAAATTAAAATTTTTATACTAAAATATCGCTTTAAGCAGCAGTAAAAAAGCCGTTCAAAATGAAACCTAAAGGGCTCCTTGGTTGGCTAAAAAAATGGATGCAATATAAAAGAAATGGAATTCAAAGAATTCGGTATTAAATAATATTTGGAGTTTTTTAATGAATGTAAAGTACATTCAGGTGAATAATTTTTTGTTTGATTTGAAGTAAAATGAATGTAGTATAAACTTTAAAATGGTGATAGCTGACAGGAGACGATTGTGGTAGTGGCGGCGATGGTTAATAGATGTCATGGTGGTGGTCGGTGGCAGGTGGCGGTGATCGATGGCGATCAAGCTAGTTTGCTTGCATTGTAAATCGTTCTAGCTCAAAATTAGGCGAGTTTGATTTACCTTAAAACTGGACGAGTTTGCTTTACACTATATTAACTAGAATTGTTTAAATTATATTTACTTTACTTTATTTTGCATTCATTTTTCATCCAAAAACATAAATTTTCAAAATCCCTTCAATTGAAATACTTTACACTCTTATGTAATCCAATCAAACATCCCCTAAACTAATCTTTAAATTAGCACAGATTTAAAAGAAAAATAGTCTTATGCATGAAAATATTATTTAAATCTTGAAGTTTTGAAAAATATGATATTATGACAAAATTTAATATCAAGCTCTATAATTTTTTTTTTATCATCGTGTTTGCTTAGGTTTCATTTGAGATGATTTTTTTATTGCTTCTTAAAATAGCTTTTTAATACAAAAATTAAAAATTTTGAACTAAAATACTGTTTTAAAAAGCAATAAGAAAGTGATCTCAAACGAAGCTAGCCTTAGGCTTCATTTGGATAACTTTCTTGATGCTTATTTAAAGCAGCTTTCAAGTACAAACTTTTTACTAAAAAGCTGTTTTAAGAAGCATTAAGAAAGCCGTCCCAAACGAAGTCTTAATCTGAGAGTATTGCTATACTTCCCCAAACAAAATTTCAATTAAAATACAGCCTTTTCTTTTTCAATTTATCATTTTTTTTTTAATATTTGCTTTTTTCATAGATGGATTTTTAAATGCGAAGTGATTTATATTGATAAAATCATAAAATTTCTAAGCATAAAGTTGCATATAAAATGAACATAACCTTACTATATAAAATCAGATAGCAACACAACACCAATAGACCTTTCAACTTAAATTTAGACTTTATTTGAGACAGTTTTCTTGTTAATTCCTAGCATAAAACTTTTTAATACTAGAAATTAAAAATTATTTTAAAAATAGTAAATAAGCCATCCCAAATAAAATCTTAGTTTCGCAAAAGAGCTCAGGTGGTGGTCCGACATAGCTCAGGGCATCAAGCGGTGGTCCGACATAGCTCAGGGCATCAAGCGGTGGTCCGACAGAGCTTAGGACATTAGGTGGTGGTCCGGCGGAGCTTAGGACCTCAAGTGGTGGTTCGACGGAATTCCAGGTGTCGTGTGGTGGTCCGGCGGAACTCTAGGCAATGGTCAAAGAGGTAAAGAGGAAAAACGATATCCGATCTCTCTCTTTTCTCCTTAGGCTTAGGGTCCCTTTTTAAGAGGAAATGGATTATAGATTTCTTGTAGTAGTATGGCCAGTAAATAGGTATAAAATCAAGGGCAAATATGGAGTAGTTTGCATGGATGGCTGATGTTGAATCCTTTGATCGTGGACCGTTTGATGGACATTTGAATGTCTTAGTGATGTCGGAATTTAGTGATCTTAAGCTCATTGGATTCGTCTCGTTGAGCCGCTCGATTAGACTATAAGCGTGTCACGTTTGGTAATCCAAATTGTGGTTCTAACTCTACAAGAGCTCTTCGTGCCCTTGATTTGGACTCATTTGAGATCGGATTGAGTCAAATATAGCATCGTTGGGTTCATATTTCTGAGACGTTCAGTTCGACTATAAGTTTGCTGAAGTCAGAGTTCAAATGATCCTAATTTTAATTTTGAAAGTTTCTAACTTGATTTTTCCTCGAGATTCATGCCCGATCCTGATAATTTTTTGATGATGTATCAATAATCAATGTGGGTAAATAGATAAAATTATATAGTATTATCAATAGTAGTTAAAAAAATATATATCTTTTTTTATACAAAAGTGAGTCAATATATACTATTATAAATTTTATCATCCTTAATTTATTTTGGATAACTACCCTGTTATTGTGAGGTCTCAAATTCTAAATAAGAAAAATAAATGATTATGCTAAGTAGTCAATAACCAGCTTCAATTTTATCAAACAATTATAACATAAATTGCCTTAACTCTTAGCATAACATAAATATTGACAATAAAAATGTAATTATATTTTTCTTGCTGTTTATTTATTTATTTAATATAATTAATAAATTCTAAATATCAAATTGATTGTAAATGAATAAATATTAATGCTTAACTGAAAAAAAAAAGAGTTGAAAATATAATAAAGAAAAAAGAAAGAAATTCATCCGCTTTGCATATTGGATGTTAAAAAAATTTTCTCCAATTTTATAGCAATACTAAAAGTATTTAGGGGTGTATATTATCTAGGTATATTGAATAATCAAACAAAACTGATTATATTTTATTTATTTGTTAAAGTATATATTCTGTTATCGATTATAATTTTAACTTTCTTTTATATTTGATTAATTCGATTTTTGCTTTTATTAAACTGCTTAAATAGGAAAGAAATTATATTAATTTTTTAAATATTAAATTAACATAATTATTTAAATAAATATGTAACATAAATATTAATATGCACATCATATATTTAACATATACATTTTAATTATATTGTTTAAGTTAAAAATAAATATATTTATTAATAAAATTAATTATATTTTGATTCATTTAAAATTAAACCAATCTCACTAAATTAATTTTTTATTAGATTTAATTTGATTCGAAAAAATAATCTGATATGTCCTTATTTTTTTTTTTATAATTTTAAGATCAAAATTAATTGAGTTGGTTCTACGAGAGAGAGAGATTATTGTGTTCGGACACCGGACAAAATTTACTGTTGAGTAATAATGAATTAACTCTTCACAGTACTGAATAGTACCGAGCTTAGTATTGCTCGATACTATAAAATATCATATTTATATTGAGCTTAATACCGAATAAAAAAATGATGTGACGCATTTTTATTGGACTTCAATACTCATCGAGTGTTCGAAGCCCATGATTTCCCTAACCGTGAAGCCGTGTAGGGATCCCGGCATCCCGCTATGTCGCTCGTCGATCGGGTACTTCAATTGGACGGCCAAGATGTGAATCATTCACGAATCACGGCGTGTTTACAAACGGCGAAATGGAATGATCTACTGCCGTCCGATTTGCCTTATGATGGGATTAGCAGGCTGATGCTATTTTTACATTTTTGGAAACGGGCTCCTACCCAAATGGCCTCGTTGTTTAGATAAATCGCTGTGTGCTCTCTCTCTCAGATTCCGGCAATTTAGGCGGCGGCGTGGCCATGGGGAAGAGTTTGTTCTCGTCGGAGCCGATATCGTTGAGGATGGATAGGAGGTCGCCGGAGGCGGTGAGGTTGCGAGAGGCGGTCTCCAAGAAGCTATTGGACTTCCTCGGGAATTACTCCGACGACGTCTTAGCGGTATAACTTTCTTTCTCTAAAGTTAGCTCTCGTCTTATACAATGGAGTTTCGAGATCATCTTTCCTTTGTATAATTTGAGATTTTATATTTTTAAGTGTGAAATTCTGGACATTTGGATTGAATTTTGTTGTTGGCCTATAGATGTACTTGCATTCTAATGGTTAGTGTTTCGGCTGCTTCTGTGATACTATATTTGTTTTTTGATTAGTCGATGGCCGCCGATGTGGCTTCCGAGCTTGCCTTAGGGTTCGGTGTGATACTGTAGTGTCTCTTCTGGATTGTGAATAACACTAGCTCAAGCGTGTCTGTCTTAGTTATTTTTTCTTCTTCTTTTTATTCGATGGATTGTTTTTCTATTCTTTGGTTCGGTATAATGGAGTGAACTAAAGTTATGGTGATGGTGTGGGATTACCTCACTTAAACTAAGCCTTGTATGCTTCGGTTGGAACGTCTTTGGAGGGTTTGTGTTTAGGTTTAGTGGTTTTGGTCCTTCGGATGGTGTATGGATTGAATTAATTGTGTTTGTTTTGGATGGCGTACATAATGTGACCAAGGGATTTTGGTCGGGGCTAGAAAGAGATGTGGGAGAGCTAGGGTTTCGATTAGAGAACCATGCCTGATGGCCCGATGAGGATTTGATGTGGATCCTTTATTGCTGATTTTATTAGAGCTTCCTCATATTCATCTTGCTTGAAATTATTTCTCTTTGTTCTGAACCACAAGTAGAGAGAAAGAAAGATTGTGCGTGTAAGGTGTGATAGCGGGTTGGCTATACTAGAGAGAGAGAGAGAGAAAATAATTTTTGGCTGATCAGAATCTAACTTCAAATATCCGAGGTTTCCTTAAGCTCACATTTATAGTAATAGGAGGGAATAATGAACTTTTAACTACGTTTATATTGCAAGTAGCTAGTTGTCTTGTTCATAAATTAAATAAAATGTATAATCATCATACTTAAGCTAAGGAATATGGTATTCCTGAAGAGGATGGTAGGTGATCTTGTCCTTAGCCATGGAACGGTGATTGACAGACCATATGAAGGATAGTATGGCTTTATTTTGTGACACTCAATCATGATACAAAGCTTTTTGTGCTCTAGTCTCCTTGTAGGCTATTTATTTATGTTGCCTTCTTTCATGTAGATTTTCATTTTACTCCGTGCATCCATGGACCTCAACATTACTAAACCTATTGGTCTAGTTTGTTTGAATTTACTTAACTCTAGAGTCCATCAGCCCATATTAAATATTTTAGGTGGAATTGATCTAAATTACTAGTCTGGCCCTGATTGGAGGAGTGCCTCCTGGATTATGGCTCCTTATATCAGGTCATTTGAACTTTTGCAAATTAGCATCAAAGTTAAGGCTACTAACTTTATATTGGTCTTCTGATTTTATATGATCTTGTCTTCCTCTTGCTGGAAGATTGAAAACATTTGCAAAGGGATTAACAGTAACTGATTGATAATGGAGTTTCTGCTTCTTTTTTGCTTAGGACGATTTCTTGTTTTTGGTGGATAAAGAGCCCTCATCTTAAAATAATTTTGCACCTATGCAAGGACTAGCTTGCGTGGTTCAATGATTTTAAGTTTTTCTTGTTTGGATGAACAATACTAATAGGTGATTTCTTGCTTAATTTGATAGTGTTGATATATAGCTGTCTTTGTTTTTATTCTACAGAGCAATGTCATTACATGTACTGCTATCTTGCAGGGGAGTTATTGTTTGATCCATGAAATTCCATCATGTTTATAATGACGGAACATTTGAATATGTGGTTGTGAGACAGGTTGCATAAACTTGAATAAGATCTATGTAATGCAATAACCTAAAATAAGAGCTTTCCTATTGCACCTCTGTGGTATTGTTGGACGCAAGTTTGGACCCTTAATCAATGTTGTTTGTCAACTCTTCCAGGACACACATTGTAGATGCTCAAACATGTTTGTAAATAAATTAAACTCACATAGGATACAAATAATTCCCCTGTAACTCCGGTATTTTCTAAGTCATTATTTCTTTAAAATTCTGGATTCTTGTTCTCCTTTTTCTTCACTCATCCTCATTTATGATTTTTCTATTTTGTTCTTGATAGAATGATGGAGTTATTTATGTTTAATGTTAGATTTTCTGCTAATAATTTTAGAGTTTTAGCTGTTGCATCCAATGGTGGAATCAATATTTAAAATAAGATAGGAAGAAACAACTTATCTTGAATTTATTGGGGGCTATCATATATAACTAGCTATAAGCCTATAAGAGAGTTTATATGTGAAACTTGCATACTGTACATGTGTTAGACCGGTCCACTGGACCGGTCCAGCCGGTCCTGGCGGGACCGGTTCGGGGGCAGAAATCGCGAAACAGGCGGATCTGGCGGAAGAACGAGCGGCCCGTCCGCCCCCGTAGAGCCATTTAGGAAGTTTTTTTGAGCGTTTTGAGAGGGAAATTTGAACGTAGGGACTGTTTAGGGAATTCCTTTTGATTTGTATGCATTAAATAGTAGATTTTCCTAGGGTTTGAGCATCTTGAATTTGGCTGAAATTTGAGATCTCTTAGATTTAGGTTTTCTTTGGGCTCTAGCGGCGTCTAGAGATTTGGGTTTTTTTTCCCCTTATTTTTAAAGGCATCAAAATTATGGTAGTCGAGATAACTTTTTACTTGGCTGCTTTTTTTGTGTACCTCAACCTTAGCTATTAATGTTATTACCTCAATGTGAAGGATACATCCAACCAATCAACAGTTTTCCAACATAACCTGTCATTTTTTAAAGGAAACATTGAATCAAACAATCGTTTGCTACATATGTGATGGAGAGTAAAAGACATGGATGAAAAAATAGACTCTATCCTTCTAAAAGGATATTAGGCTAATTCTATCTTGCTCTTTCTATCTCTCTTTTCTTCTGATATATTAAAGTTCCTTCTGTTGGTAATTAAGTTGCGGTTGTTATCTTTTTAAAGAAACGGTTATTCTTGTTGAATTAATTTGCATATGTAGTAAGTGTGACATGAATATGGGCGTTATTGACATTCTTATTTTCACTATGAAGGAGTACATTGTGGTGCTTGTTTGTAATGGCAAGCATCAAAATCAAGCACGTGATGACCTACAGGCATTTTTAGGGGAGGAGAGCGGGGCATTTGTAGCTTGGTATTTTTGACTCCTGGCTTTCAAGCTACTTGCTTTGGCTATTTTATTTCTCATTAAAAAAAGCTATACCTTATTGTCCTGGTTTTTTTACTTATAGCTATATGCAGTGATTTTTAATTCATAATTCTATGCTTTGTATTGCTCAGGCTTTGGGATTATCTTTCCAAAGAATTCATTTTGAAGGCTAATCGTGACCTCGCTGATCCAGAAGCCAAAGTAACAACTAATCATAGTAAAAGTTTGGACAGGGAAAATATAAGTAGCATTCTTGCAAATCATGATGCTCAATCAATTGGGCCACCAAAGGTAATCATTTGGTCTTAACTAGGCATCAAGCGCTTTAGTAGCATTTTAATAGCATTGACTAACTGATGAATTTGTAGACTAAGAATGGATCATTGGAACTGCCAACCTGTAGTACAACTTCAGAATACTTAAAACCTTTTCAATTGTCAGAGAAGCTCCAGCCTTGCTCCCCTAATTTAGATGAACGTTCAACTGAAGTAAATATGGAGAAGTTGAAGCCACAAGAGATTGCTCTTCAGAAGAGTTTCGGTTCAAAGAGTGGTAATTTCACTGCAGCAGCAAAAAATATGTTATCTTCAATTACGAGCTCTCATGAAGTTTCACCTGTTGGCAATCAGTCTTTACATTATGAACTTCAACACCGGAAGGTTGATAGACAAAGCCTTTTGTCTTAGTTTGTCAGACTATTTGTAGAAACAATGAGTCTAACTGCATCATTCCATATGATAGTACAGATACCAAAAAATGCTTCCAGTACTGTACCTTCTCAACGCCTGCCTGAACCAAAGACACAACAGACTGCAATATGTTTGCGATCTGTCATTGCAGGCAAGGCCTTATTTCTGACTTATGTTCTGACTTCTTGATTTTTATGCTGGGATTTCTTATCCATATGCATTAATTATGATTGTGCACTGTAATTTCAAGATATTAATCTCAATGTTCATTTCTCAACATTGCTTAACCTTTCCCCTTGTTCACATATTAAATAATCTGGGCATTGTTTCTTGTTAGTTCAAATTTGTTTTTTGGCATCTGTGCTTGGCCCATGCTTCTTGATGACTAAAGTTTGAATCTTCATTACTTTTTTTTTTCTGCAGAAGAACATCAATTGAGGGCTTCATCCAATAGAGATTTTGCTGAAACAAGGCTGCCTTCAACTGCTATGGATGATTTGTCGCATCAAACAGTTCGTTTACGTGGCAATGTTTGGGATAGATTAGGAAGGCCTCATGTAGAAGATAAACGACCAATTCAAAGAGACCTATCTGATCATCTTGATTTAATTGAAAGTGGAAAACTAGACCATCGAGAAGAACCTCCAAATCCGAGGTTGACAAGGATTTCATCAGTGGCTAGCACAACTAGTAGCTTAAATAAACATTCTTATGCAGTTGATAGAGGCGATGTAGAAGGTGTATCGGTTAAACTATCTGGTGAGTGTAGAACTTCAGATAAAATGGTCGATGGAAGTACATTAAAAAGGAAGAGAGAGATGGGTGAGCTTAACACCAACAATGGGTCATCCTGCAAGGAGAATTATCTTCAAGACAAAGGACATTATCAGCATGAACGGCATTCAATTCCTGTCAATCAGAACTGTCAACAAAGCGTGAACAAAATTGCTAGAGTAGCTGAATCTGATGCAAAGTTTTGTTTTATAAATTCTGCTTATACTGGGCAAGATTCCAAAGCCTCTGTAGTTTCTCAATCTCAAGTGAACAAGAATTTGATGATCTCACCTACGGAGAATCTGGTTCCTGTCAGCACAACATTACCAACTAATTCTAAATCTCAGAGTAAAACAGATGGTGGGAAAGCCAACCAGAAGCCTGTGCAAGAAGTAAGTCTTTCTCACCAACAACCACCATCCCCTTTTTTCTTACCCATTTTTATTATGCACTACATTTGTTTCTTGTAGGATGTTCTTGCTGTTAAATTAAGGCTTCATCAGATTGAAATGGATATGCTTAAGCTTCGTTCAAAGCAGGCGGCACGTAGCACGGATGGAAAACAAAACGTGTCTTCAGGTTTTCAAACAAAAAGTTTCAGAATCCCGACTTTATCTTCAGTGCTGATTGTGGATAACATGCCTTTTATTGTCTGAAGTTTGAATAACTATTTCGTGCAAGTTAAAAATATTGTTAAAGCATTAGATTTTATGCATTTTTTTTTCTCTTAAGAAGTATTCATCAGGGTTAAAGTATTGTTAGAATTTTTTTTTAATCAATCCGTGCTATCTTTCTCGAAGTTTTCCTAGCATTTTATGGCTTCTTGAAAATTTTCCAGAATAAAATGGATTTGCTTAGGGCAGTGTACTGTATGATCCTAGCTTGATTTGGTAGTGCCTTGATAAGAACTGCAAGATGATTCCTCGAAAGGATAAATTGAACTGAATCCCCAGGAAGGCAGATGGCAATTAGCGTCCTTGTATTTAAGAGAAGAGTAGCTTATGGTTTTGGAAGCATCCCTGAGCAAAGAAGAATGGGTTTGTTTCGTGGTTAGACTTGCTTTAACTTTAGTTATGGGATATATCATCAAGCCTATCATTTAAATTGAACAAACAACTTATTTTTTTAATTTTTGTTGTCTGAACTTACCATTTCTTCAATTTTCATCTCATGCAAAGTCTGTCATATTAAAGGATGCAAGTGATGGAAGAAGAATGACTGCAGTGGATGTATGAAGTGTTTTGTTTCTAACTCCAAAATCGACTTGTCATGATTTTAACCAAATTTTGCAAGAAGTGGTTGAGGGTAGATTCATGGGATGTTAGCAACAAGTAAGACGCCATACTTAGACTAATTATGGTAAGGAAACAATGATTGACATGGGCATGACACGCAACTAAACTCAATTAGTTTAGTTTACTATTAATTTGGATGTTAGATATGTAGTTAGTGCTCTTGTTGCTAACTTAGATTAGCACATAATTTTTAAGTTAATTTTGGGTAGAAATGAAGTAATTGCTACACTTAACCTAAGAAAGAGTGGTTAATTATTGGTGGTGATTTTAATAAACTTATATAGGTTTCAACAAGGTGGATCATGAGAGGATTGATCATATTAATGTTATTTTGAGAAAATATTAATTGAGACCATTAAAGAAAAAATTCTTTGAAAGGGTTGGATGAACATAATGCTGAAATATATATCAATGTAAAAATTAAAGTTGAATTAGTTTTGAAGACGATAGATAAAAGTAATCCTTCACATCTAAATGAGATATCTATTGAAATTCAGGTGGGTATTAGTGATATTGAAATTGTTTGGCTAATGAGTAGATAATAGTTTAGTATGGAGACTTTGAAGTAGATTTTATTGAATTGCATATTGGCCAGTTTTGCTGTATGGATTCAATTGATGAGGAATGAGAACTTTCACGTGCAATTAAAAGATGGTGATTTAAAGGTGAATATTAAGATTTATATGAAATATAAGAAGGATAGGGTGAAAGTTTATTCTGTTAGTCTTATTATGGGATTAACAAACATTGAAGGCAAGTTAATAAAAAAAATTTGATGGTTTGTCCATGAGAAAATGGTTAAAATGGTACTTGGATTATTTGTGAGGATCATTTTAGTACTAGAATATTTAAAATATCAAATTCAGTCCCTTGAATTCTCAAATATGATCCAAAATAATCCCATTGTTGGAATTGCTCTTTAATTTGACAAAAATTTCACAAATGATGTGGAGAATAAGGTTATTTTTAGGAAGTGAAGTTTTTAAACATCTTAATTTGCATAAAATATCCTCATTTTCCACCTCATTTATGAACGTTGCATGAAATCTTTGTCAAATTAAACAACGATCTAATTGTAAGACTATTTTGGATCATATTTGAGGAGTCAATAGACTAAATTGGGCATTTTAAATATTCTGACCAAACAAAAAAAAGTCCAAGATTCATTTTAACCATTTTCTCGTGGAGGCATATATGATGGACGATAGAAGATGCATCATAAAACTTATAGTTAATTAATGTGATTGTGCTCAAAAAGGCCACCTTAGGATTTTTACTATGCAAATAGCTTTCTTGAATGTGAAAATCAAAGAACACATAAAAAATGCATAGCCAACAATACATGCACACAGATTTGAAAACTAATTTACCATTTAAACGTTCGTTTAAAAAAAATCTTGAAATAGAAAATCAGCTAAAAATTCCTGCAATCCAAACTCATCCCAAAGACACTTATCATACAAATTAATTCACTAACATCCTTATGTTTTGGCAAAAAAGATGCGGTAACTTCATAAGAGAATGACAATAATAGCAAAACAGAGAACTAGTAAAGAATAGCAAGAACAAAATAAGGATTATGTTATTCACCATTGTGGGTGTCTACATTCATGTGGAGAAATTGAGACCTACTTATTATGGAATCCAATATTCAACTTATTACACATATCAAACTTTCTATTTTTCTAATTCACAGATTTATGAAGCTAGCTAAAATTTTCTTTGGGGATGTTTGGTTGGCCGAAAAAGATTTTGCTATAAAAAAAACAGTGTAAAAGGAATGCATTAATTTGAAATCTTTGGAGATTTTTGGATATGTAAGTAAATTCAGGTTATTATTATTTTTTTTATTTAGCTTGAAGTAAAATGAGTGCGGTGTAAAGTCCAAAGATGGTGGTGGGCGGTGGTTGGTGGGCGGTAGCGACGACAGTGGTGGCTGTTGCTAGTGGTTGGTGGGGGCTGACGGTTGTGGATGGTGGCAAAGGGTAGTGGCGAATGACAGTGGTTGGTGGTGGTGACGACGAGTGGTGGTTGATGGTAGCGGCTAGTAGGTCATTGACAACCGACATTGGTGGGTGGTGGCTATTGGCGGCTGTGATAGTTGGCGGTATACGGTGCGGGCCAGCGGCAACATGGCGGCTTGCTTACCATGAAAAATGAATTTGGTCAAAACTGATCGAGTTTTATCCAAGTAAAAATGTCAATATTTTTAAAATATCTGAATTTGGAATACTTTATAACCACTTTACTTCAAACCAAATAGCCCCTTTATCAAAACCAAATACTTGAATGGAAGAAATCAATAAAGGAAGAAATTGCTAGTGTCAAAATTTTATTTTTAGATGATTTTGAAACGTTCATGTTGTGACAGCGTTGGATGTCGATGTTGTGAAACCTAGCTACGATCTGCTTGATAGAAATGAAACTTGTATGTTCAGAGAATGAAATATTGAGTGCGGGCAATTGATTAGGGGTTGTTGATATGAAATAAAAAAAATTAGTTTTTTCTTTTGAATAAGTAAGAATTAAAAATATAAGACTTTGTATTTCAAAATTTTCATAAAATATTTATGACAATTGTTTCAATTTTATTTTTAATATATTTTTAATCGGACATGTCTGCAACATGTCTGATATGTGTCGGAAGCATGTCCGATGCATGTCATGTTTGATACGTGTCGGACACTGCATACCTCATTGAGAAATATTGGTGTACCATAGACTTAGGCAGAGATAGAAACAGAGAGCATCGGGATGTCGGAGGAGCTAGCTTTCATAAATAAGAGACAAAAATGTAAACCATCTTACCTTCGACACAACAGGTGTGACCTTCAATTTCGTTGCGAACACACGCGCTTGCAGAATTCAAAAGCACAAACTACAGTCACAACCTTTAGGCGACGTCGTTGAACACCCTTGCTTCTAGAAATCAAAAGCACGCATAGCAGTTGCAATTGTCGAACACCCCAGCTTGAAAAAATCAAAAGCATGTTGGGAACTTGGGTCGTGATAAGGCGTATACGACTACTGCAAGAGAAACAGGATTGCCCTAGGCAGCTGAATTGAGTTATGGGTGAAATGTTAGAGACGAAATGAGAGGATGGGAAAAAATAGAAATTTTATTTGATAAAAAATTAATTCTATTAATAAATTATAACTTTAAAAATATCAGACAAATTATATTTTAAATAATTTTTTGATTATATATAGGGATATGCATGTCTTATTTCATTTAAATGTTATTATAATCAAATATGTTTTGCCTTGTTAGACACATGTCCTGATCATGTCGGGCACATTTTTGTGTTTGACACTACATACATTCTTATTGAGGTGTGTGGGTGCATCATTGGCAATGTTTCAAATTAGATGCAAGTGGAGCTAATACCAAAACGATGATATTAGTTATGATCATCATGGAGAACCTGCTAATCAACAAGATCAATCTGACTTATGAAATTATGATCTAGTAGGGGTTCGAACAAGAAATGTAAAGGCTCCTAAAATAACATGATTTTGCTGATTTAATTGCTTATGCTCCTATCGCTTTTGAATAATTGCTAGGGGATGAGTTGGGATTATGCATAGAATAAATAAACAATGATGGGAGTGTTTTATGGAAACAATCTATACACGAGGAAATGGAATTACTGGAAAGGAATAGAACATGGCAACTTGTTGAAAAACCACAATAAATGAATTGTGAGTTGCATGGTTTGTAGACTAATATTATGTTGGGGATCTAGATAAAAGAATATTATTGACTGGTTATTTTTATCTGTATTTTGGAGCAGTGTAAGTTGGAAAGCTAATCTGTAATTTGTTTTTGCTTCATCAACTACAAAGGTAGAATACATAACTGATATTGAGGCTAGAAAGAAAGGTATGTGGTTAAAAGAGTTATTGGAAAGGCTTAATAACAAAGAAGTGAAAACTGTAATATGGTATGATAGTGTCATACGACTTATGATAAATCATATATTTCATGAAAATATATGATGCAACAAAGATTATATGATTAAAAGTTTCACAAAAAGATTTGCATTGAATTGTGTTGAATTGTTTTAACACATGTAGAAATCAAATGGCCAAAGAGGATTCTCAAAGTTGACTCTAAGTAGTTGGGATAAATAATGATGGCGATGATTATGATCCTCCTTGCTTGATTTCTAAGCACCATATTTCTTAGTTTTATATATAATTTATTCTATTTTATTTCATCATCCTTCTATAGAGATCGAACATGCATGGTGACTTCTCACCTATTTAACTTGCTATGATTTTGTTCTTCAATATTAACCTTAAATATCTCTTAGACATGCTATGAGAAAGCTTCTTATGCTATATTATTTGTTTACTGGTTGTGTCTCATTGTTATGTAATCTCTTTATCATATTTAAATTGCAGTTTATGAACTGTTCAGTTATTCTAATCCCAGTTTTTCTTAATGCAGTTTTGCAAAATCTGTCCGAGGAAGGTATCGAGTCAAGAACAGTTCTGGTGGCAAATGTAAACTGCATAACTCGTCATATACGATGCACAAAATTCTTCGAATTTTAGTAGTTTCAATAAAGGATTATAATAAAAATGAATGACTTATGTAGTTTAGGGTTTAAAAGATGTTGATTTTGTCATATTTTCCTTTGTTTAAACCTTAGGTACATTTTGCTGCAACAAGAGAATCTTTGATTTCACACTTTGGAAAGTGCGGCACTATTGCTAAAGTAATAATGTTAACTGATGCTGTAACTGCTTTGCCTAAAGGGTATAATCCTTATTCTTTTAAAAATTGATGTTTTCCCTTGACCAGTTTATTATATTTCTTATGAAAAAAAAAAAAAAAATCATCTCTGTTGTTTACAGGGCAGCATACATTGTTTTTGCGAACAAGGAATCAGTTGACAAGGCAATTTCCCTTAGTGGCACCTCGTTCTTCTCTCGGATTCTTAAGGTATGACTTGGGACAAATTTAATAATTTACTGAAAATACAGATCTTTAGAGGTCCGAAATTCTTCTTAAGGCTTCATTTGAGACGGCTTTCTTTGTGCTTTTTAAAGTGGTTTTTTAATATAAAAATTTTAATTTTTTACTAAAAAGTCACTTTAAGTGTTGCAGAGATGAAGGATGCTTTAGGCGGATGAGTGGCTTGACCCTTAGAGATAGGATACGAAATGAGCATATACGTGAAAAGGTTGGAGTAGCTCCAATGGAAGATAAGATTAGAGAGAGTCGCCTTAGATGGTTTGGTCACATTAAACGGAGGCCTTTCGATGACCCGGTTAGAAAAGTTGAGGTATTATATTTGACTTATGTTAAGAAAGGTAGAGGTAGACCTAAAAAGACTTGGTTAGAAAATATTAGAAATGATCTTTCTTTATTAGATTTAAATGAAAAATTGACTTTTAACCGGACACAATGGCGAAAAAGGATTCATGTAGCCGACCCCACGTAGTGGGACAAAGGCTTGTTGTTGTTGTACTAAAAAGCCACTTTAAGGAGCAGGAAAAAAGCCGTTCCAAACGAAGCCTAATTCCGCAAGACTGAGTAGAGGAATGCAAACAAATGGAGTTTATATTAATATATACCTTATTATCATCTTATTAAGGTTATTCGAAAGGTTGAAGTTCCTCCAGATTTCTTGGTTCCATCGCAGTCTACTCTGAAGCAGCCACAGCCATTTTATCCTCAGCCTTCCCATGGGAAGATTCCCATGCAGAAACCTTACACAAGCTCTCACCTTCAGTGGAGGCGTGACCAACGCTCCGGCGGCGAAAGCTCGTTAACTCCATCGTCGAACGGGTTGGGTTCATCAAATTCTGGAAACTAGGGTTCCAGGTTCAAAATTTTATGCAGAAATCTTTGATGGAAGAAGGTATCAATAGTTAGCTTAGGACTATTAAACCGAGGTGCTGGAAATGAAGTATCTTTCTGAGCAGCTATTGCTTGAGAAGGATTTTGGAACAAATGCTAGAAATATTATATTGGATGAATAATTTGTATTGGTTCAATTTTCTCGGCTTCTTTACCTAATAACGATTTAAAGCCTTGTGCCCTTTTATAGGAAATTTTATTACATCCGGTGTCCTGACGTAGCTCTACATTCGAACGCCAGTAAAATAGTGCCACATGTTCCTACTTTTTACCGCGTGGCCCGACGACCTGACCCGGACAGGACCCGGTATTGCTATGTATTTATTGATTTGTGCAGACCGAGATATTGCTAGGTATTACTTGGTATTACTCGGTAACAAAAATATTATTCTATCATGACCAATACCTAGCAATTCTGAGTAATACCGAGCAATACCCCGGTTCTGCTAGGTATTGCTCGGTATTGATAGGCATTGCTCGGTATTGCTATGTATTGGTCTTGATAGAGCGGTATTTCTCGTTATTGTCAAACAATACCGAGCAATACATGCAATACACGAACATAGCAATACTGGGTTCCGGTCCGGGTCAGGTCGTCGGGCCGCGCGGTAAAGAGTAGGAGCACATGACGACATATTATTGACGTCCGAAAGTAGAGCTACGTCAGGACACTGAACGTAATAAAAATTGCTTTTATAGAGCCTGTGCCAGCCCTTTCTCTTGATTATATAGATATGTTAAATGTTTTACTTGAGAAGTGGATGGTGGAGCTTCTGATCAGGAAAGCCGTATTACAGTAAGTCAAATTTATTTTAGCATTGAATGACAAAGTTGTGACCATCGGTGAATTTGATTTATATATTTGTAGTCATCTTATTAAAAGAGTCCAATATTACTAATTGATATAAGCAGCTCTATTAGATTCAGATTTCATTTGAGATAATTTTTTTTTATTGTTTTTTAAAACAGTTTTTAATGAAAAAAATTTAAGTTCAATAAATTTTGTATCAAAAAATTTATTTTTAGAAATAAGTGAAGAAGCTGTTCAAAATGAAGCCTCAATGCTTCTTATTGGTGGGTCATAGTGCTATGTTTTCTTAATTGTTAATGCTTAAATGTATCATGTTTAATCAAAAGAATAAATATATCTTTTTAATTGGTTTTAGCACGTGTAGAAGTAGCAAAAAGAAGATGATTACATCAATCTTGTAAATAAAAATCCCTTTTGATTCGTTTTGATCCAAGAAACAAAATAAGAATGAGATCCCAATAGGATCTTTAAAGGAATTCAAAGTGCTGAATTAGTAAAAATTATTCTGTGAGGATACCGGATGATGTCCGTAAGTGATCCGTGTCATGTCAATTTTTTGTTGTGTACTGCGGTTGTGTATTCGTTATATATCAGGTATCGTGACGCGCTCTGGTTCACTTCCGGATGATCCGGTGTAGGGCTGCAAATGAACCGAACCGAGCCGAGTATGCGAGTGTTCATGTTTGTGTTCGTTTATTATTAGGTTGTTCAAGTTTGGTTCGTGTTTGATTCGAGCTTTATTGTTTCTGTTCATGTTTGGTTCGTTTAAATTAATGGTGTTCATGTTTGGTTAATGTCCAGTTCATGTTTGGTTCGTTTAGTATGTTCGTGAACATATGTAGAGAATTTTTTTACACTATCAAACAAGCACGTTCATGAACAAATCTAATGAGTATTTTTGAGCTATCATGAATATATACATAACTATTTGAGCTACCAAATGAGCTCGTTCATAAACAAACGATCTATGATTCATATTATATTTGTTCATGAACATCTTAAACAAACAATCTAGCAAATATTGACAAATGTGAAAAAGTACAAAATAAAATGAAATTAAATTTATAATAAAAGCAATTGTCCATTTAAAATGAAAATATGATTAATCTATATGAATATATTTATTAATCTTATTCAAAAGTTCTAAATTGAACATGAATCAAGCTTATGCAGAGCTTGTTCACAAGCTTTAAATGATGTTGTTCGTGAACATAAATGAACCAAACACATTAGTGTTCAAGCTTGTTTATTTAATGACCGAGTATTAAAAATATTGTTCAAGTTTGTTTGTTTAGTTAGTTAAACGATCACAAACGAGCTTTAATCGAACCGAGCAACGAATAGCTCGTCAAATATTTGGTTCGCTTGCATCCCTAATCCGGTGTCTGCATGAAATAATTTCTCCAAAATTAGTGATTAAAAACAGGGAAGAAATAATGTGATCTTTGGTTAGTGCGTTATAAAAAAATGCAATTTACTTGGGGCATCTCCAACTGAAATTCTCATTTTTCACTACAAAATCCAGTAAAATCAAAAAGTGCCGTGATTCATCTCTAGTGGAACGTCATTTTGCCCATAAATCATCGCTTATTTCTTTCACGCCTTTCTCAGACGAGTTTGGTAGAGAGAAAGAAATGGCTCAAGTGAACTGTGCGACGCCAATATTGGCGTTGCACTGTTCAACTGAGATCAAATGGCGGAAAAAATGGCGTTTGGTTGCGACGTTTGAGGGACTGTATTCGGTTGTTTGCCGAGGTTGGAGATGGTCTTAGGCGACCATCTTTGAATATTATTTACTGTAGACTTTTCGGATTTATAAATTAAAAAGAAAAGCATATGAGGTTTCAAAGTACTTATTTTTTTTGGGTAAATTCAAAGTACTTATCATTTAAGGGTTGACACAGCCTCCTCTGCCTATCTGCCGAACTTTTATTATTTCCAGTGAACGTACACAGAGGAACATTCGATTTTAGGCAAAAAAAGCGCCTGTACCGAATACCGAGGTTAATCTCCAAAAAACTCTGCGTACGTTCACTGTATAAAATAAAAAGTTCCTATCTGCCAGGTTGAATCATTAGACAAAAGAAAGCTAGGGAAAGGTATTAAAACTATTATTATTTAAATATTTTATTGAGACTGACTGCCTGACTGCTTGTAGAAAAGTATCAAATGGACTATTTTATTCATTACTTTCAGTAAAATGTAAAAATTTACTGCTGCGGCACCAAAAAAAAAAAAAAATCTCCAAAATTTTATAATTCTTTTTATCTTTCCTTTTAAAAAAATTTTATCCTGTTATTATTTATTTATTTATTAGTATATATTTATTATATATAGTATTAATATTTAATTAAATTCAATAATTTTCAAAACTATTTTGATGCAATGATATAATTTTTTTTAAAAAAATTGAGATGAAAAAGAGAATACAATAAGAATAAATAAATTTCTTAATCACCAGGGCTGCAAGCGAACCAAGCGTTCGACGAGCTACTCAATGCTCGGTTCGATTAAAACTCGTTTAACTAACTATACAAACAAATTTGAACAATATTTTAAATACTCGATCCTTAAATAAACAAGCTTGAACAGGAACAACGTCATTTGAAGTTCGCAAACAAGCTCGACATTAATCTCGATAAAAGCTCGAATGGAGAGAAATGCAATAGGTAAGCTTCATTTAAGAATATATTCATATAGATTAATCGTATTTTCATTTTAAATAATAGACAACTACTTTTATTATAAATTTAATTTTATGAACAAAAGACATTTCACATTTGTCCATATTTGCTAGATTGTTTGTTTAAGATGTTCATGAACAATTTTAATTTTTATTTGTTCAATAGATTGTTTATTAAAAATGTTCACGAACATAGCTCGTTAAGGATTGTTTGTTTAAAGCTTGATAAGCATTAAACGAACCGAACATGAGCCGAACATGAACACTATTAAATTAAATGAACCAAACATGAACACAAACAATAAAGCTTGAATCAAACACAAACTGAACTTGAACAAGCTAATGATAAACGAACACAAACATGAACACTCACATACTCGACTCGGCTCGGTTCATTTGCAGCCGTATAATAATCACATTACTGCTGTTGCACGCCAACACCTGTTGAGAGATAACCAAATACTAAACAAGTAGGGTTGGAATGTTGGTTGGCAATGCAAGCCTTGTATGGCTTGTTTCTATACCTGCACGTGAAAAGCTACCATTATACCGAACCCGACGTCATCATAAAGACTAAGATTTTGTTTCGGATGATTTTCTTCATGCTTCTTAATATGTACTAGAAAGCTGCTTTAAGAAGCATGAATAAAGTCATCCCAAGCTTTGTTTGGGACGTTTTCTTCATGCTTTTTAAAACAATTTTTTAATATAAAAATTAATTTTTTTTTTACTAAAAAATTGCTTCTTAAAATAATTTTGTAGTACAAATATTAATTTTTTTTATTATAAAGTTGCTTTAAGAAATAATAAAAGTCATCCCAAATGTAACCTAAGGCTTCGTTTGTGAAGGTTTTTTTAAAACTATTTTTTAAAGCAAAATTTTAGAATAAAATTTTTTAATTATTATAAAAAATAATTATTTTAAGAAGTAATAAAAAAGATGTTCCAAACGAGACCTAATAACACCTTATACTGTGCACAAAGCTATATCAGGTGTGAGAGGATGACAAGATAGAGTGAGGAAAAGGAAGTAGAATTGATATAATAATTAATATGATGCTAATATTTACCTCCTTATTTGGTTGAAAAGAATTATTTTTTTTTTTAAATTTTTTTGTTAAATGGGACATAAATTACAACCCTAACTAATTATTTTTTCCCTTGTTTTTCACTAATTTTATTAAAATTATGACAAGAATATTTGATCACAATTTCTATAAAAATTTAAGTATTTATTAATTACCTTAAAATCACATAGTTAAAAAAAAAAAGATTATGAGCTAATTATATTTGCATTTTCCCAAATTCTGTCAAACCATATGTATCTCAAAATTTAGCTAAAGAACATAATAGAAGATTGTATGCAATCCAAGTTATTTTGAATCAATAGTTTTTTAGGCAAGTTGCAAGGTGTGGTCTATAGCTGTCACTACTCACTAAAAAAAAACAAAACTTTTTATATTTCTAAGGCTTCATTTGGAACAACTTTCTCATTGCTTTCTAAACAATTTTTAAGCACAAAAAAAATTTAGTTCAAAAAGATTTTTAACAAAAAAACTAATTAAAAAAACAATAAAGAAGCTGCCCCAAAGAAAGCCCAAGTCTTCTTTCTCATTACTAATTTAAGGCTTAGACCAATAATCATACTTCACATTATTCATTCCAGTTAAGTTGGCTTCCTCCAAAATAGAAGATCTACCCGGGTCTTTTTTTTTTTGACATTTAGGTCAATTATGGCGGACTCACACAAACATCGCTTATACAAAACTCGAACTAGGACCTTTTAATTGATAGCCTAAGCTCCCAACCAACAGATCAAGATGAGTTGTGTTATCATGTTCTTATATCATGGTAATATACACATTAGTAAGTTGCATCTCATTTCTTGACACAACAACTATAAACCAAAACATTTTAGCCGTTTGGTATTGCTGCTCTTGTTGCCTTAAAATTATGCTTATAAACATTCTCTTCTTTGGGGTTAATTATTCTATGTGGATGTCGAACGTCATCCGGAGCCCAATCAAAATGTGTCACATCACCCCTTTGTTGTTTAACGCAGCTCGGTACTGCTCGGTACCGTGGCTCAGTATCGCTGATGTAGCTGCACCTGATTCGTCTCAGAACGTAAAGCTAAGCCCAACCTCCGCACAGAATAATTTCTCCTGGCAACATGTGGAGTTATAAGTATATATACAATTTTGGAATACTTCTCATTTCTGCTGGTTTTGGATTACAATTTTGGAATACTTCTCATTTAATGAAAAAAGTTTCAATTAGCTATAAAAAAAACTTCCTTATAATGGAAAAAAGTGCAAAAAGGGAAATTTTTTTAATCCAAAACCGAATAAAAAGTTACGAGAAATAGAAAGAGAAAACCTCTTTGTTTAAATAAAAGATGAAACTAGTAACGAAATTTCATTCAGCAAACGATATAAGCAAAAAGAACCTATACCTGCTAACAATATTTATTTATAATGGTAGAACAGCAAGAAACAACATAGCAACTCACCCTCTCCCCACTTGAACAGTCCTCTAATTAAATGCGCAAAAAAACCAGCAGTTTTCTTATCTTTCTTCAGCTTGCACAACTTTCTTACTGCTTCTTAAATCAGTCTTTCAATATAAAAATTAAAAATTTTTAACTAAAAATTGCTTTAAAAAACAGTAAAAAAGCGGTTGCCTTCATTTTTCCTCTGACATTAAATCATTGCCTTTACTTTGAGAAATTATTAGGTTCGGACAAGGGACAACCAGAATCATCTGGATTTCTCTGTCTACAGTAAAAGCGCGACTGCTAGAATAACTGTGCTTTTATCTTTTATTATAGACAAAGAGAAATTCGGATGATTCTCTATGTCCGATGTCCCGGTGTCCTTTACTTCAGTCCACAGTCATGGGCAGGGTCATGCAACATCTGAAACGTGCACGGCGAACAGAAGTGGCCAATTCACCTTGAACATTTTCGAGCAATTTCACAATGTCTGCAAATGGTGGCCGAACATCAGGATTCGCGTTCCAGCAACTGGTCATAATCTCGCCGAGCACCGGAGGGCACTCGCTTGGTATGATCGGCCGGGCGCCTCTGTTCACCACCGCAAAAGCAGCTTGCACGGCCGTCATGTTCTGGAATGGGAGCATTCCTGTTATGAGCTCCCAGAGTACAATGCCAAAACTATAGACATCAACTTTCTGCGTATAAGGTCTGCGCTGTATCATCTCTCTGCATATTGATTCAAATTAGATAATTAGGTTTAGGGTTTTGGTCTTCCAGAAATAAAAAAAGAAAAACATGAACAGAAATTACAAGCTTAGATTTCTGTTTTGGGTGCAAGGTGAAGTGATTTAGGCTTCGTTTGGGACGGTGTTTATTGATTCTTAAAGCAGCTTTTTTCTAGTATAAAATTTTTCATTTTTTATTAGAAAGCTACTTTAAGAAGCAGTAAAAAAGCCGTCCCAAACGAAGCTTTAGGATTTGTTTCTGCTAGTACTTTTATGGATAGATCAGGCCTATTTTAAGCTAAAAATTTCCCATCCTCTATGAACCTTAATGCTTTCATCTATAATGAATAGGTAAAGTCTTAAATATGAAGTAGAAAACCTTTCTTCCACTTCTTAAGCGATGAGAGATTTAGGCTTTGTTTGGGACAGTTTTTTTGCTGCTTCTTAAAGCAGTTTATTTTTGTACTAGAAAGCTGCTTTAACCAGCAATAAAAAAACCGTCTCAAAGGAAGCCTTAGAGAACACTGATATTGGCGGGGGTCAATTTTGTGACTGCATGTAAGCTGATTGAGGGCAGTTTGTGGCAACCAGTTGATCCAAAGCAACGAGCTATGATACTTGCAATAAATTGAAGGATGCAATTCATGTTCATGTTTCAGTTTAATAGTAATGAAGAAAAAGTACAAAGAAGAGAAATCAAATATAACAAATAGACAAACACAAGCACAAAAAATTTGCAGGACTCGGTGAGATTCACCTATGTCCATGGCCACACAGAGATCGAATAATACACTAAACTTAAAAAAGGACACATGAAGAGATTAAAATTTCTATAAATAAGAATACCAAGTACCACTCTGCCTATGTTATTGGTGGAGAGAAAATGCACCATCTATAATGATGAAGAAAGTTGGATGTGGAGAAGAAGATGTTGATGTCATTACTCTTTTCATTTCGATATTGCAATAGTACAATGAGAAGTTTTCCTTTAATAGAACCAAAACTACAAACACTTGTTTTTTTTTTAAAATACGAAGTCTCCTTTCTGAAAGCATCCAAAAAATTTGTCTTTGTTCTCTCAGTTGAAAACTCCTGCTTTACCTCCCTCTTCTCATTATTTCCCTGTGGTTGTGAGATGTCAAACCTAAATTCTGAAGCTCTATTTATAGTGATGACAATGAATTATTTGAATACGATTTATTACAAGATTCCTAAACATACTATAATATCTCTCAAAGTCAATAAAAGATATCACAAAATCCCTCGGAATCAATAAATGAACTTTTAAGATCTCCAAATAATTCTTGTAGCCTCAAAAGAATAGATTGATTGAAGTCTACATTTAAAGAAGAGATTCAACAATACTTTGTAAACACATTATGAGAAAATTGGCTCCACAATTCCAACAATCTCCCACTTGAAAACATAATTTTTGATGTACCTAATTAGTAGTTGCATCGGAATACTTCATTGTTCAATACCTCCTTTTATTAGTCATAAAGGTTAATTGAATATTTGTAAAGCCTCGTTATATTTGCGTGTGCAACTTTAGAGAGCATATTTGTAGGATTTGTTGCTCCTTCAATTTTATAAAGATGCAAAACATCCTTTTCCAGCAAACTACAAATTAAGTAGTGCTTCTGTTATATATGATTTATTTTAGAGTGGAAGGCAACTTTTTTTGTCAAGTAAATTTCGCTATGGCTATGACACAAGAGTGTGGCATCCTCATGTGTTCTTACTAGTTCTTAAATAAATCCTTCAAACGAATTGTCTCGTTGTTGGTTAGTTTTAAGTAATTGCTATGTATTATGCTTTTGTTCTTGATATTGCTACTATTTTTTTGTGATTGTAACACCCACTAAATGGGAAAATTATTAGGTCCGAACACCGGACGTAGAGATAGGTCCGGAAGTCAATAAAATGTCGACACGTGGATATTCAATATGTTTAATGTGTCGGCGGAATTATAAGCCAAGTGCACCAAAAACGCAGGTAAAGCACAGTCAAAACGCAGGTAAAAAGCGCAGGTAAAACGCAGTCAAAGCACAGTAAAAAAGAGCACTTAAAACACAACTAAAGCGCATGTAAAGCACTAGTAAAGCGCACAAAAAAGTGCAACTAAAGTGCACTACACGTGTCAAATTTTTAGTGGATGACCGGACCTATCTCTAGGTCCGGTGTCCGGACCTAATAATTTTCCCACTAATTGAGGTGACATCCAAGGTCAAAATGTACCCTATAACACTTGACCATGTGTTTAGGCCACCTCCCAAACCCACATCAACATATCACTGCAACTTTAGATTAACTTTTTTAAATTATACATAGTGATTTATTGTTTCAAGTAGCGCATGATCCACTCCACAACATCCCAATGTTCATTTTATTGATTTGGAATATGCCAATGTAATATAATGAAAAAGTGATTTTAGGTAGCATTATTGAGGGGACAAATCTTAGAAATTTTCCTTGTATTTGCTAGAGGCACAAACCACTTATGAAATATCTTCAATAATGCTACCTAAAATTTCAAATTTTAGGTTGATTTCCAAAATTTTCTTATTGCTAAACTTTCCACCATATGTTTGCTTCATCATTCAATGCCGACTATGGCAGCCGGTGTAATTATCTCTTCTAAGCAGAACAAACCATTAATTATCTTCTTAATAAACAAACCAGTTCCCAGCTTCAATAAGCCATTTATAGCCTCAATAAAAAGAGATGGTTGTATGTCTTGAAACATGTTTAAGCATCTATCTAATAATACTATTTCCACTAATTTGCAGTCAGAACTTCGACTTAACTAAGTTACTGCCACCATCATCTGAGTAAGGATACACCAACAAAGTCAAGCCATTATCCAACTATATTAGGTTGGCTACATGAATCATTTTTATCCATTGTGTCATGTTAAGAGTTAAATTTTCATTTAAATCTAATAATAAAAAGGTCATTTCTAATATTTTATAACAAAGTCTTTTTAAGTCTACCTCTCCTAACTGGGTCATTAGAAGGCCGACGTTTATGTGAACAAACCATCTAAGGTGCCTCTCACTAATTTTATCTTCCACTGGAACTACTCCTACCTTTTCTCGTATATACTCATTTTGCATTATGTCTCTAAGAGTGAAGCCACTCATCCACCTAAGCATCCTTATCTATGCAACACTTAACTTAATTTTAGAAATGCAACAATACTAATCCTGCATTTGCATTTGGCATTTGCTTCTTATTAGCCCATAGGCTAACATTTGCTTCTTGCACTCCCGAAGAATCAAATAGATCTATTCTAACTTCAACTATATTCCATATGTAACTTTTTCTATAGGAATATATAAGCATGAGTGCAAAAGGCATTAATATAATACATATTCAAATCACCTAGACCTCTTCCAAATTTTGTATTGATCATGATAATGGCTCTTTTATAATAAATATTATCCCTTTAATCCAAAATTTTATTTGATACTACTCATGCATTCAAGTGACCAAAAAGGAACCAAATAAGAATGAAATTCCAATCAATAAAGAAAGCCCAAATATCTTTCTAGTTGAATTGTCAAAAGTGTCACAAATTACAATGATAGAATTTATAATGATTTACTACCAAGCTTAGAACCAGTGGTAAAGGCACTGTATCAGAGACAATTAATAAATTATATGAGTTGAAAAGTTAATTACAAGAATTATTGGAAACATCATACCAATATGTTACCTAGGGGAGCTCCAATAATATTCATAAAGAAAAAAAAAAACAAAAACAAAAGTTTAGGATTATACATTGATTACAAAAAATTAAAGAAGAATACAATTAAAAACAAATATCATTTACCAATGGTTGATAGTTTATTTCATCAACTTGAGTGAGCTTCATTTTTTTCTAAAATATATTTGAGGTTCAATTATCATCAATTTAAGGAATAGACAAGAAGTCATTGCCAAGACAACATTAAGCACGAGGTATAATCATTATGAATTTGTAAAGATGTCATTCACACTAGCAAATGCTCCAATAGAGATTATGGTTCTTACAAACAGAATCTTTAAACCATTCTTGAGATTATTTGTGATTATTCATAGACAACATACATGTCTGTCCAAGGACCAATTCTAGTCATGTAAATTATTTGCATGTGGTACTGATAAAACTCAGAGAAAATGAGTTATAAGCAAATCTTTTTAAGTTTAAGTTAAGGTGAAGGTATAACTTTTTCAAGGCAAACAATCAATGATGATAGTATAATTGTACATCAACACAAAATTCAATCAATAATTGATTAATTGAGACTGAACAATGTTATATAAATTAAAAGTTTTCAAAACTTTGTTGGTCATTATAATTAAGAGATTTGTTAAAGGCTTCTGTCAAATTGTGATGTTATGTCTAAATTGACTAAAAAAGCAATAAATTTGAACAAAATGATAATAGTGAAGAAGTTTTTCATAAAATAGCAAGATGTCTAAAGACTACTCTATTATTGATTATTCCCTCTGATACTTAAAGATTTTAGAATTAAAGTAATGCATCACTAAAAGGTTTAGGTAACGTTTTGATGCAATCATGCAACATGATCGAATAACTACCAACGTTCCTAGACAATTAAAGAAGAGGAGATATACCACGCCCAACCTTGAGTTGGTTGTTTTTGTGTTTGCACTAAAAATATGAAGACATTATTTGTATCGAGTTCATTATGAAGATTTACAAGTCATAGAAGTCTAAAATATAACTTTACACAACAAGAGTTAAATTAGAGACAAGCACAGGTTGAAACTTATAAAATATTATTAAAAATATATATAATATCATCCAAGAAAGTAAATATTCATATTTACGCATCTTTTAGGTACAAATTATATAGTGCTCATATGAGAATTGTATTTAAAAGGATATAATATGATATATTCATGACTTTAGGATAAATTAATGATCATGAGTTCACTCTTTTTTATTCATCTTTATTTTTGACATGAAATTTAAAATATAAATATTATATATGATAAGATTGGCATGCATATTATTTCCTCTTCCTGGGGTAAAAAATGCATTTCTTAATATATCCTAAATAAATCCAACTATTAATTATATGCATTGAAACCAAACTTTGTTAAGTCTCTCGCATGCCTGTTCTTGTCAGATAAGTCTACACTTGCATTTCACTATGGGAACAAATAGGTTCAGATCTTTCAACTTGTATCTACTATCATTATTTTCTGTATTAAGGTGGCATTCTAGACATTTCTAAAAAAACATTAAGGAAATTAAGTAATAGAATAATAAAATAAAGCTTGGAGTATATAATTGATTATCATTAGCTTTTAAAAAAACATGTGGATAACCATAAAGACAAAACACATTTTCTACTTACGGAGCCATCCACCGGTATGTCCCAGTTTCGGGTGTCATTCCTTCCGTCTGCACTTCAATACGGGCCACTCCAAAGTCAGCAATTTTAATCGACTTATCCCCAAAAATGAGAAGATTATCCGATTTCAAATCCCTATGGATGAAACCTAACCCATGAACATACGCCATTCCCTTTGCAACATCCAGCGCTTGTCTCACTGCAATTTTCAGAGGCACCGACCGATTTTGCCTCCTCATCAGAAACTGTCGAACTGATCCACCTTTAGCATACTCTGTCACAATGCACCACACCGACTGCTTTCTACAAGCCCCGATGAATCTGACCACATTGAGATGCTTCAGTGTAGCAAGCATCATCACCTCCTGCGCAAATTGCTGCTCCATCAACTTTGCTCTATCAGGATCGTTTTCGGGTTTCTCCAACAGCTTAATTGCCACATCTTCTCCATTGTAAGATCCCCTGTAAAGCTTCCCAAATGCTCCTTGCGCAAAGGGCTCCCCCAAGTTCAATTGCCTAAGATCAAGAGTCCACTCATCGTAGTTGTCAAGGCCTTGCGTGGGGAAACCCGGGTCCATCAGAAACTGGGCTAGGGCGTCACTGCTTAAGGCATGCCTGACGCGACCAGCGCGGAAAACGCTGTGTCCAACCGAGCTTCCGCTGGCAGCAGCAACCTGGCGGAGAGCGTTGTGGTGGAGGATTCCTGTTTGTGAGTCGGTCGACCCAACGCTGCTGTTCTCAACCGACATCGCCACCGACCCGCCCCCGTTGCTCGACTGGATACTATCCACCGACATGTTCGTCTCCTCTCCAAGCTTCCGATAGTACGCCATTTCATAGAAGTTTCCCCCGCCGCCGCCGCCACCTCCAGCGATAATTCCTGTGAATTTCGTCGAATCCATTGATCTGCAGTGTACTACTCCCGACTTCAATATCGGAACTGAAAAGATAGATCTCTATCTACTTTTCCACGGAGGCCTTCCGAGATGAAAACATCAGAGTAATATGAATAAGAGAAAAAATACAGCGGCGGAATGAAGAGCAGCAGAAAAATAGCTCGATCTACCAGCACACACCACCGTTTTCCACTGGGCTCGACCGGATATCTTCGTCCAGCGAGCTCAATGAGGAAGGCGAGATCTAGCCAGTAAGAAGGGTGAGGATCGGAGAAAATGGAGACGTGGATGAAGGAGGAATCTAGGAATGACTCTTACTGCAGCGAAGAAGAGGCAAAGAGACGACCAAGCGAGAAGAAGTAGAATAGGAAGCTATCGTTTTCTTCGTTGTTTGGTCCTTTGAGCAGCGGAGGCACCACGTGGCTCATGCACCTTTTTCGTCTTACGCTGCATTTTATTGTGTGTTTATAAATGCTTGACGATTAGCGAGGGCCCGTCCTACGAAATTGAAATCGCGTAAGCAGACGCAAATTTTAAATTGAAAAGTAAAACCAAATTAAATTCGATCGACTGAATAGTAATTCTCAAAATAATCAATTTGAGACAAATGGTGCTTTATTATTATTTTTTAAAATATCTTTTTAGTATAAGGTTTTAAATATTTATACTAAAAATTTAATTTAAAAAGCAGTAAAAAAGTAGTCTCAAATTAAATCTTAAAATAAATTTTTAATACAAAAATTTTAATTTTTGTACTAAAAAGTTGCTTTAAGAATTAGTAAGAAAGTCATCTCAAACAAAACCTAAAACTTCTTGTGGGACGACGATCTTAATGTTTTCTAAATTTTTTTTAACTAGAAAGCTGTTTTAGAAAATAACGAGAATGTTATCTCAAACAAAATTAATTATTCTGTGCAGATGTCGAATGCTGTACAGAGATGAGAGACCAATCATAATGCGCCACGTCACACCATTTTCTATGTACCGCGACTCGGTATTGCTCGGTACCACTAACGTGGCTGCACCTAATTCAACTTCGGACGTAAAGCTCCATCCGGTCTCTGCATAGAATAATTTCTCCTCAAATGAAACCTAAATTGAGACCAATTTTGTAAAATTAATGAATTAAATTTGAATTAATTTTATATCACAATTATAATATGAGACACAATTTTGAATCAATTTTAATATAACCGAGGGATTAAATTTAAATAACATATATTTTGAGACTAAATTGATTATATTTAAATAGTCCAATGATTATTTTGAAAGTTATATGATATAAATTATATATATATATTATTTTTTACCGTGTAACGTCGATGAGGCTTAAAATGACTTATACCAACACGTGTACTGCCAGTTGGATTTTGGCGGTGGATTAAACACGAAAAGTCAGAACCGTAAAAAAAAAAAAAAAAAAAAAATTGAATTATTTTTAGTTTTGAAAAGAAAACTTCTTGTCTTGAAATAAAAAACTATTTAAATTTTAAATATACCTTCGGTCTTTTTCATGATTTTCGTGCATTGCTGTTTTATTCTCAGTTACGGTGCTTAATTAGATCGGGTCAAATAAATTAATATCTGAAATGTCTTTATTTATGTTTCATACGATTAAAAATATAAAGTTAACATATATCTTTTTTTTTTTAATGGTTCGAATTTATTATGTTATATTTTGTCATTCATATTATTATGTGTTAGAAAATTTTTAAGAACAGATGATAAATTTTAATGTCTCAGTTTTTATGAAGATCCAATACAAATACAGATAAAAAGAATACCGTAGACAAGAGAGTTTTTACATGAAAACAGGGGTGGATAAAAGGAGGCCTAGGGGGGATAAGCAAACCTCTCTTCTGAAATTTAGAGGTAACGGCTTACTTCCTCCTCTTCCCACTTACTTGACCTTTCATTGCCACTACCAAGAGCCTAACCAGATTTGATGCCTACGAGCCATTGGTTGCCTCCAGCGGGAGGTTTGCTTCTGTTGCCATTGTTGAACGTCTTATATCCTTATCCTCATTCCCTTAGAAAGAATCTGTTTTTGACCACTTGGATTGTTGTATCGATCCTTTTGTCAATGCTAGAACAGATGCTGGTGTCTCCAATCATGTTGGCGGCTTCTTGTCTGGAGAACACACGGGGGGACAAATTGAAGCATCGATAGAGATCGTGGTTAAGTTGTTGTGAAATGAGGCTTGAGAATCGGGGAGCATGAAGTTTCGAAAGATCCATATGGGGAATTAGAGGATTAAGGAAGTGATTAGGGATGCGGTGGAAGGGTTAGAGTTGTTGGAATGTGTCGGGTTTAGGACCTAGGAGGATGGTGAGAAATGGGCAACATATGATGGGGGAGTCGATGCGAGAGAGGATTCCTGTTATCCAGGAGGTGGTTTCTTGGTTGGAGAGGTGGAAGGGAAAGGATGTTTGTGGCAGCTGAGATTGAGACTATGGAGAGATCGGTTTCGAAGGAGATTGATCAAAAGTCAATTGACCACAAAGGCTATGACTTTTTTTTAGGGATTTAATATCAAACTCAACTTAAGTGATTTTAGCTTTTTCTCTCCCTCCACGACGAGGATGGTGAGGATGATGAGAAATCTAATAGCTTCAAAATAGAAATTGTGTCGAAATATATTATCCATTGAGAATTTATTTCAGATCAATGCATCTAATATAAGTTGATGGAGCTTTACTATGAAATAGAATTAGAGAGCAAGGAATAAACAATATTTTAATAAATTATTTTAAGAAATAAATATTTGATTATATTAATAATTAAATACTAATTTAACTCTTTGAGAATATGAAGAGTGTGTTATAAATTAAAAGTTTTTTTCTCATCTTATTTTTTTATCTTTTTGAAATAAAATATTTAAATATTTTTTTTAAGTTATCAATGTCATCCTTAAGTACAAATTAAAAAAAAAAAAGAGAGAATATCTAAAACATTTAATTTTTTGCTCCTCCAACTATGCAAAAAAAAAAAAAAAAAAAAACATTTACTTATAAAAATTAGTTATTGGCATATTCAAGCTTTAGAGCAGCCTATTGAGTGACATAATAATATATATATTTTATGTGTTGGGATGATTTTTTTTAGATGACAATGCATTATGGTGCTAAGGCCTGAATTCAGTATCATATTGTTATTAATAATTTATATGTAATTAGAAAAATAATTCGATCGAATACAAATATTATCATAATTTTTAGATTTTGAAATGTCGAAGTATTTGAATTAAATATTTTTAAAATAAAATTCTAGTGTATATAATCCCAATCTTAATAAGTTGGTAGTAAAATGAACGTGTTGATGAGAAGAACCCAACAATATCAAAAATGTCTCAATTTGAATTTAAATGGACCAAAACAAGGCACTTGGAAGAATAGCTGATAACTTTGTGCAACTATTTGAGTGACCAAACGTCCAATATAGCCCAATTCTGATATCACTAAGCCCTTACGACGTCTAATAAAATTTGTATGATTAAGAGGGATCAACATGAGTCACCATTTTTTTTTTTGTCAAAATGATCAGAATGTCCCTTTCAAAAAATCTAAAAATAAACTATACTTCCATATGTTTGAAGAGTTTGGGATGAGCCATAAGAAGGATTATGTAAAATAAAATCTTGAGCTATGTTTGTTAGCACTTGACATATGTTGTTGACACAACATTGGCACCCTTCATTATCTTCAAGGCTAAGTCCTGATGTCGACACCAACTTTGGCGCCCATCATTGTCAATAAGACACAATTGTTCACTACAGGAAAATCTTTCATTATCGGTCGCAAATTCTGGCGATTTATCTCACATCGCCTACTAGCTGCTGGTTATTGCAGGCGGAAAAATAAAATAACAGACGATTATTGTCTCTATTATGTATTACCCGCGGCTAAACTGTCGGAAGATACCATCATGAAAAGAGTATACAGGTAGAACTTCTGCGATCATTTGACTGCTTCAATTTTGGGCGGTTTACTCTTTATTACTGGCAGTCCTACCGCCGGTTAATAACGGCGGTCAAACCGTATTTCTGGCGGTCAAATGACCGTCGGAAGTTTTGCCGATAATGGCTCATATATTAAAGATAATCTTAAACTTGGTAATGGCTCATATACCGTACTATTAAAAAACATAAACCCTAAACTTATTAATATAGTATATAATTTATCTCCTCCTTTTTATTATTTTTCACGTATTATTTTGCTCTTTTATTCTTTTCAATGTCCACACTTTTTGATATCGCAACTTAAAATTAATTTAATACATGTGGAATTGATGTACACTAAATTATTATTATTTATAAAAGTGAACTCCAAGTCCTATGTAGCTCATTTGGTCTTTAGGTTAGTAACTTGGTCTATCAATTAGATTTTATTTGGGACAGCTTTCTTATTTTTTTTTGAAACAATTTTTTAGTATAAGTATTTATAGTCAAAAAAAAAAAAAAAAGCTAAAAAATTAATTTAAAAAATAGCAAAAAAAGCTGTTCCAAATGAAGCCTAAGAGTCTAAAAGGTCTTAAATTTGAGTTTTGCATATATAATATGTGCGAATTTGTCTTTATTGATCTAAATGTAAAAAAATATTAATAATTGATATGTCATCATAAAATTATCTTGATCAAGCACGAATCTCGGCGCAAAAATCAAGTTGGAAACTTCAAAAATTAAATCTGGGAGCATATGAACTCCGATTTTAGCGAACTTATAGTCAAACTGAGCGTCTCAAAAATACGAACCCAACGACACCAAATTCAACTCAATCCGAGCCCAAATCAAGAGCCCGAAGTGCTGTTGGAAAGCTCGTACCACAATTTGAGTCACCAAACGGTCTCCGATTTTAACGAGCTTATAGTCGAATCGAACGGCTCGACGAGACGAATCCAACGAGCCTAAGATTTTTGAATTCCAACATCATTAAAGCCTTCAAATGTCCAACAAACAGTGCACAATCGAAGGATTCAATATCAGCCGTGCATTCGGCCACTCCCTATTTGCCCCTGATCTCACAGCAATTTACAAGCTATGAAACTCCAGAAAATCTATAAATAGTGCCCTCATTTCTCTTATGAGGGAGGATGGAAGTAAGAAGAAGAAGAGAAGGAGATGGAAGAAACTCCTCCTCGACCACCGCTGGAGTTCTGCCGAACTCCAAATGACGCCGGAATTCTGCCCGACTTCCACAAGATGCCAGAATTCTGCACAACTTCCACGGGATGATGAAATTCTTCACAATTAACGACAGAGTTTCCTCATGACGTCGAAACTTTGCCCAAGTGATACCAGTGTTCTCCTCATCCACCAACAGACGTCGGAATTCTACCCGACGCCGGACCTTCACTCTTCGCCAAAGTTTCTACCTGATACCGGACTTTTACAGGTTATCAGACTTTCGTTGGACATCTATCCGAAGATGAATTTCTTTCCATTGTTAGACTTCTACCTGAGTCATTCCGACCTCCGTCGCCTGCAGACTATGCTCCTTTTGACGTGCGTCGCCCACCGACTACAGGTCTTATTGACCTCCGTTGCCCACCGACTGCGATTCTTCTGATCTTTGTCATCAGACTATGGTCCTCCTGACCAAACAAACACATCAGCGGTGACTCTTTATGTTCCCATCATATAATGTACTCTATAAAATGTACATCAAGCTAAGACCTTCTACCATAGAATGACATCTTTTGTAATCAACTACAATATTAGTGGATTCATTTAAACTGGGCTAGGCCCTGTGGTTTTCCCCCTGTTCAGGGGTTTTCCACGTAAAAATATTGGTGTATCATGCAAATGCTACACACTCTCTTTTATCTGATTGCGTGCCGGATTTTCGTACAACGCTAAGATGTTAAACTATATATTTCTCTACCACCGTGAATTCTCCTGAACACAACAATAATAAAAAAAATTATCAGCCCCACCTAAAAACGAGTGATGACCCTTTTTGAATCTCCAATCTTTTGCTCGCACAAAAAAGAAAAGTTAGTTAGGCTCTTGAATATTATTAATTTATTGTGAGATAAATAATATAAAAATAATTAATTAGCTAAATGTATTAAATGTATTCATGAAATAAAATTTCTCCCGCAAAAAATGGGCTTAAGTTACTACTAAATCGTGACCTCCATCACCTCACCTAATATAGAAGAGGCGCAATTTTAAATGCTACAATGGCAATATAGCAATTATTATATTATATCAACGAGGAGTTTTCATTATGTTAATAGCTAATATATATATAATAAAATTCAATCTTTGAACAACACAATTTTATGAGGCAAAATAATTTTAGGGTATTTACATATATAACTTTTTATTTCATGCTATTTATATATCTAATATCTAAAATTTTAATATTCCATGTCTATTATCTATATAAAATTTTAATATCAAATATGTCACCACTATATTTCATTCATACCACTAGGGGTGTCAATATTTGACACGACACGAAAACCCGACCCGGAAAATCCGGGTTGAACCCGACCCGATTTCAAAACGGGTCGGGTTCGGGTTCCAGAAATCGACGTTCGGGTTGACCCGGCGGGTCTGCCGGAGTCCAACCCGCCCAACCCGTTTAATTCGAAAAATTTGAATCCCGCCCTCTGCCCGCTGCTGCGCGCGCGCTGCCCGCGCTGACCGCCGAGCGCATGCCCGGCGTGCCCGCGTGCCCGCGTCGACCGCGCCGCCGCGCTCCCGCGTGCCCAGCTCTTCCAAGCGCGCCGCGCGACCTCCGCCCGCGATGCCGCGCACGCCCGCGCCCGACCGCCCAGCGCGCCCGCGTGCCGTGCCCGACCTTGCCGCGCCCCGCGCTGTCCGCTTCGCGTCCCCGCCTTCCGCCGCGCCGTTCCGGCGCCGGCCACCCAAACCGGGTTGGGTCGTGTCAACCCGGCAACCCGCCGGGTCGGGTTCGGGTTCGGTTTTCCGACCCGTTTGTCTACCCGGGTCGGGTTAGGGTAGACCGTTTGAACCCGGGTCAATTCCGGGTTCGACCCGTGACCTGAAATTGACACCCCTACCTACCACCCTATAAACTTTAACTTTTCATTCATTGCATCCATATTTATTATATGAATGATAGATATATCATATTAAAATTTTAAATATTAGATATATAAATACTGATATGCATGTAAATCCTGCAATAAAATTTTTAGGAGTGCAAATTCCCAAAATTACACCCCCATATTTAGGAGTGAATCTTTTTGGACATTAATGAATAGATTAGACATTCTCTATATTTATAGTTAAATCGAATGACTAGACAAGATGGATCTAAAAATTCTAATGTCGCTCAATTTTGATGTCATTAATGCTTAAATAATAAATGAACGACCTCTTATCTAAGGATTCAGCTGAGTTGTTCCATGAAGCAATATAATTTTAGACAAATTAATAGAAGTGTCGCTCATAAAATTTTGTAATAGATAATCATTATTTACATGAAGGGGATCTGAACTTGTGTTTGGAGAGAGCTTGGAGATCTATGAAATTTTAAAACTCTGCTTGACATTCGACGCCGATGATTCTTGTCATACACCATCATTGTCTAACTTTGACTACTGTCATATGAACTGTCTTATGGCTATCATTATCTAGCTATCGTCTCCTGATTGTCGCAACCTCTTCACCATTGTCCGACTAATATCTTCTACCTACTATTATCCAATTATCATTGTCCGACTATCATCACCCAACCACACAACTATTCGATTATTATCACCCATTTAACTTCATCCAACGATTGGATCGCCAATATTCTCCATCATATTTACATAAATATAAATTTGTATTACATACTTTATAATTTTCATCTTTTATAACTAAGGGAAATGTAAACATTTATGAATCATTTTATCTAGATCAGGCTCCCTTTTCAGATTTTTAATATAAAAAATTATCGTGTCTATCATATTCTTATATCTGTGTACATATTTAATTACCTTGCGAATTTTCTAAAACCTATAATTTAGCTCTTTATTCTTGCAAGTTATTTAACTCTTTATTCAATGTCATTTATACTAAACAATCATCAACTTATATGAAAAAAAATTATCACAAAATATATTAAATAATTTTGATAAAAATATTAAAATTAGTGATGTATACAAATTTATCTTAAACCTATTTTAAAATAAATCTAATAAATTTAGATTCGATTATAAAAGATTGTCCTTTTGTATTTTTTTTTTTTCACTTTCTCTCAGTAAAATAATTACAACTTTTCTTATTTGATTAGTATTTTCATATTAAGGATACAAGCAGCGTGGAGACCATCCAAATTCCAAGCACCCTACCTGTTAACCACTAATTTACCTTTGTACCCCGAGCGCTCCCGAATTAGTAAGCCAATTAAACCATTTTCAAAAGGGCATTCAAGTAATAAATAGGTCCTTCAAAAGCCGTCCACATAGGAAAGGTTGGTCGCGTGAGGAACCGGAGAAAGCTAGCAGAGACGCGAAACGAACCGTAGTCGTCCGGCGATCTCGCGGGAACAATCGTTGATCGACGGAATCTTCGCTAGTGACGAAGATTAAGAAGCAAGGTAAGAAGATCGGCGATGGGCCGAAGCGATTGACCATTTTCGTCCCCCGCGAGTGGTGAGACGACCTGCACAGATGGGGAACTGCCTCTCTTCCAAGGATCCTAGGGCTCTTGCTAGAAGGAACCCAGGTGATCCAATCTCCTTTATCATCTTCTCTCTCGTAGCATTTTTTTTATGGAATGCCTTTGAAGCATAAAAAGATAATGGCGCTATGGATTGTTGTACCATTATCAGATTTTCGTATTTTTTTGGATCTTTGAGGGGAAGGGGAATGCAGAAAAGGGGTCTAAATTTCTTACGCTGTGAAGATTGTGTATGTGTAGGTGTCAGAATGTAGAAGAAAATACGAAAATCTAGAAGGAAAATTTATGGAAAAATGGTAGAGATTGTGATACTTGATACCCTGCTAAAAGTAACGCGCTGCTTGTGTAAATTGAAAAAAGCTGAATGCGAGTATAAAATGAATTTTCGCTTGTTCCTTTGGGGCGTTTTCGTAGCTGGTAAATTGGTAATGGATATAAGGAATATTGTAATCTGCTATCAAGAAATTTTTTTTTTTTAAAAGGTGGGGCACTATAAGCAAAAATAGGTTTTACTGTAATAATTTCAATCATATAAAATGCAAAACTCTTCTAAGAAAAAAGCAGGAGGATGGTCTGGGCATCTCCAACCGAAAACTTCATTTTTCACGGCAATAACGCAAAACTTCAAAATGGCGCGGTGATGCTCCAATGGAACGCCGGTGTTTTTGAGAATGTAACGATCCTCTCCGTTAACAGTGCGACTGTTCACCTGGATTAAATGGCTGAAATTTTCGCGGTTGGAGCGATGGAACGACTCCATACTCGTTTAGCGTTTAGGGTTCCGTTGGAGATGCCCTAACAGTCGGCATGAGCCGCATAACACTGGTGACGATTTGATGACGCCTTCTCAAATAGTCATAAAACTGGTGATAAGTTGATGGCGCTTTTTCAAATAGACTATGAATACCTGAGGTGCATTTACCGATTTACGAACACCTTTGATGCTCCAACCCTTTATACGTCAAAGTTTTCAAATCTCCGGATGTAATATTCATGAATAAGAGGGGCGAAGGGTGGTTTGGATGTCCAATCGAGGGGTAACTAAGCTTTTAGACCCGATCTAGTTGGTGCATCAGCCCCCAGTGCTCTCATGCCTTGTCCACATTTATTTTGAAGATTGTTTTTCTTATGGTAAGAATAAAGAATCGATACATAGTTCGGAAGCTAAACGAGCACCTTAGATGAAGCAAGTCCGAATGCCAAGGCTTTCTAAATTTGAAGTTAAATAAGCATTCTCTTGACAAATATTTGTGAAAACAACGAACATGCACGGCGGCTTACTTTCAAGTCTTCCAATTGAATATAAGCTATTTGAAAGTATTGGTACAACTTTTATTTAATTTCCCATACTCCAATATACTCATGATTCTTAATCAATGTTGTGTGATCTTGAATTTTGGCATTTACCTTGATAATTTTAAGGCACTAACGATCATGAATTCAAGAGATCAGAAAAGAGAATTTCTATGCTCTTGTGATACTCAAATAATGTGCTAACAACGAAAAAAATTATTTTATATTCTTGAACCAATTCGTGCACTGTTGCATTTCCTGTTCTTATATTTCTTCAGCGCTTATCCCAAAGTAATTTGTCAGAACATGACATGTTTTTTATTTTATTTTTAGAATTTTTAAAAAATTGAAATTAGTTTCATGATTAATTATTTTCCCACCATTTTTGTGTTACCTCTGTAGATAAAATGCACTACCCTCTAAGTCCTGGTTCATGATCATGCACTGTAATATTAAACTTCTATGTTAGCTTAATTGTAGTTTATATACGTGTGACATATCCTTGAATTTCTTCCGCAAATATGACAAACAATTGTTTAAATAGCCTACCTCAAACCTCATTGTTTTTCTGTACGATATCAATATCAGCAAAACGCTGAGCTTCTAGATGTTTGCTTATTATGCTTAGTAACATGAAATGGCTGTCATATAATTTCAGAAAGCATGCTTGCTGTATTATTCAACTTGGTAGTTGCAACTCTGTAGATATAAAGGTTTCCTTAATTTCTTTTTGATTAGATGGAAGTTTCAATGCAGTTATTCCATCAAATAGATTTGCAGTTGCACCGTCAAGGAGTAAAGCTCCCAGGCCATCAAAGAACAAAGCTGTCGTACCATCAGAAATTGATGTTACTGCACCAAAATATACCAAGGCGGCCATATCATCAGTGAAAGCTTCAATTGCACTATCACTTTCTCCAAATGAGGATGCAGACAGAACTGGCTATGTGGAGAGCAAGCCAGTGATGCATGGAGATGTAGAAGACTTTCAACAAATAACTAGTTATGGAAATGTTGTCATATTTACATATGATGAGTTGAGATTATCAACCAGGAACTTCCGAGAAGATCTAATCCTAGGAGAGGGTGGCTTTGGGCTTGTTTATAAGGGAGTCATAGATGAGAACATTCGGCCAGGGCTCAAGCCCATGTTTGTCGCTGTTAAGGATCTCAACCGAAATGGTCTACAAGGTGATAGGGAGTGGCTGGTGGGTTTCCTGTTCATGCTATGTTTTTCCTTGCATTCTTTATATTATGCTGAATATATTTTATTAGCTTCTCATACATTTCAACTGGATAAGATTACAAGAATCCAAAAAGGATGAAGATTGAAACTGTTGACAATTATACAGTATAACATTTCCTAAATTAATGTTGCATTCTAAACTTGACCACAGCTTTTTACCATAACATAAATCTCTTATAGAGTTTTTCTATCATCCACTAACCATGAAGCTGACTAAGATCTTATTGAATTTCTTGGGTTTTGAAGATAGTTTAGATTTCTAGCTGAATATATTAATTTGCTTTTTCTCAGAAGTTAGCATTTCATTATGATGATGATATGTGTATAAGAAGGATTTACGAGCTTTAAATGTTTTGCAGGCTGAAGTTAATTACCTCGGGCAATTGAGCCATCCTAATCTTGTCAAACTCATTGGATACTGTTGTCAAGATGATCACCGGATATTGGTTTACGAGTATATGGCTTTGGGTAGCCTAGAGAGGCATCTTTTCCAACGTATGCTGATGAATTCTCAAAGATATCATGATAATGCGTTGTTATTGTTTAAATTTATTTATAAAATAACCATTTTATTTTAACATTCATATTTGGAAAGTGGGGTTTCCTTGGTATCAGCACCTTTATGGAAGCCCGCAAGTAATTTCTTCAAGTTAACCTACAAACACCTTTGATACTGAGTTCTTGTGGAGATGTAGTCATAATCATAAATGATGCCTACAGATGAAAATGATCACTGAAGGCTGAAGCAGCATGTTATGTACTTTGAGTTCAGGAAAAAAAAATGTTTTTGTGATTGTACCACTCTTGGAAGATCGGAATAAGATTTTCATGCTTTATACATAATGATTGATCATTCAAATTTAAGAACGATTAGCCAGCTTCTTTAGCAAGTAGAAGAAAATTCCACTTAAAAATTCAGATTGGTTATCAATCAATGACAATATCTCTGGCAATCTTTCTTCTCTACTCCAGAATTTTTTATTTTTTTCATTTCATTTGGATTTATTGAAAATTTTCCCTCTTTTTTAGGTAACTGTATTTTTGCAAAGGGACCCACTGCCCAGTTTTTTAATGGGGAGTGTCATCTGTATGTTTAAAACATTTGCTTTGCCCTGTTATCTCTAATCGAACTCTCTGAACAGGGGTACCTCAAACAATTGCGTGGGACACTAGGATAAAAATTGCTTTGGATGTTGCAAAGGGGCTTGCTTTTCTTCATGGAGCTAAAAGACCCATAATCTATCGTGACTTCAAGACCTCTAACATCTTGCTTGACGCGGTTTGTTTCCTTAAAATATTGTTGCAACTTAAATCTTTTTCGTGCAACTTTTCATTTCAAAATATGTGAGGGAGAAAATTCAATTCTTTGAAAAGTTTAAGGTTTTTTGAAAATGAGCTAGATTTGAACTTGAACCTTGTTTGCTGTCTTGTAACTAATTAGAGGAGAGTCGTGTTTAATGCTCAAAGAAAGAAAGTGCCGAAGGAGAAATAAATGCTATAAAGGATCGAGTGACTGATAATGAAGTAGTTAAATAACAATGCTTTTATTATCAAAATTTCCTTCCTAGTTCTTGTTATGTGAATATTGTTTCTTTTCTTTCACTACAGGATTACAATGCCAAGCTTTCGGACTTTGGCCTTGCAAAGCAGGGACCAATAGGTGACAAAACACATGTTTCTACCAGAGTAATGGGTACCTATGGATATGCAGCTCCAGAGTATGTGATGACTGGTAAATTACGGAACAAAAGTAGTTATCAGATGTTATGTAGTTTTTTTTTTTTTGTGTACAAGATGGAAAAATTTAGTTGATTGGTAGTAAGGACATGGAAACACATATAATCTTAACCTTGAATAGATGTTGCTTCGATCCCAGTATTCTTCATGGCAGTATATGAGTCCTTGATTTTCCTATAATAGGGATAAAGCTTATTCTTAATATGAACATAAACCTACTTTTATGGATTATGAAAAGTATTTTCTCATCAATTAGTAATTGTTTTCCCATTATTTTTTGATTGGTTGTAAATTTCTTAATGTTGGTCTTATGTCAGTGTTCTTGTTAAGCTGTCAAGGGGCTCTGTGAATGCATGTAGTAGTAAGTAAATCCAGGTTTAATAATTCGGTATATCCCGATTCCCGATTGTAATTAGATGTCAAGGATGTTAAATGCTAAAAGCTGCTTGGAAATCTGTATCCTTAATTCAAACTTATCTATGAAACTTGATTGCATGCAAGAGAATAGAGAATTTAAGGAATTTAGATTAAATTTGCATTATGATTTGATTAACTGGACAATTTAATAGCAAGTAATAAGACTAATTTCTGGGTTTAAGATAATATTTATCTTTGAGTGTGGGTCATGTTGGCCTGGAGCAGTAGAGAAGTTGCCTTTGTATAATTTGGAGGTCCCACTCCCAGGTTTGAGCCACGAAAATAGTCTTTCTAAAACTATATGGGTAGGCTGTGTACATCAAACTTTTATGGGATGGTTTTGCCCTTTTAAGGTTATATACTTATATTACTATTTAATTATGATTAGTAGAAATGATAATTAGTTTGTTGATTAATTGGATAGAGTAATTAATAACTATTTACTAAGGTAATTAGAGAGTAATTAGGGCTTTAGTTAATATCATGAATGTTTTATCATCATTGTCGTCAATCGTCATCATCATCACACTATGATGCACCAACACTTCTCCTCAAAGAGGCGTGCAGTGTCCGATACCGTATCCGACACCACACTCGTCCAACACTCCTGTGACACATGTAGGACACGCCGAAAACGTGTCTGATTAAAAAAATATTAAATACAAATTGGACACGCATGTCAGACACGCATATTTTAAATATTTTATGAATTTTTTAAAAATATAATTTCTTGTATTTAGCGGGATTTAAACTAAATATCTTATTTTCTATCCACAACACCAAATCAACGTTCGCACTTAATACCCATTCATCAAATATTCTCATTTTCATTTATCTTTGGCAGTTAAGGTATTTTCATCTCCTCTTTCGGTTACTGATAGATGGCATCGATGCATGACTCTCGACATCCTAATACTAACCATTTTAAGCACAAATTCTAATTAAATGATTTATTATTTTTAAATTATTTTTAAAATTATACTTATTTAATTTTTATACACTGTTTTTAAAATATAAAAATTATAATACCGTGTCCAACCCGTGTCCATGTTCTATATTTTCAATAATTGACGTGTCACGTGTCCGTGTCATGTCATATCCGTGTCGCCGTCGCCGTGTCCGTGTCCGTGCATCATAGTCATCACAATGTTGATTTTATTATGATAGATATGATTATCAATTATGATAATTACTTAATTTGAATTATTTGCTAAATTTATTGGAATGTACATTAAGGCGCAAAATTGAGTTATAGATTCACCAATAGAAAAAAAAAAAGACAATAAGGAGCCAAATTTGTTTGTGTTTGATTTTTATATTCATAAGAATGATTTGCTTCATACATGCATCCCTTTATTATTAGATGAATTTTGAAATATAAGAAAATAGATTAAGGAAAGCAATTAAAAGAAATCCTGATGAATCTTTTTTAAGCATAACTATTTAATGAATGAACCCTCTAAACGAAACAATACTTTGGTTACATGTTTATCTTTTGACTAATCCTAATAAAGCATATGCTGACATATAAAAAATTTTAAATTCAATTTTTTTACTAAAAAGCTGCTTTAGAAAGCAATAAAAAAACTGTCCCAAATGAAACCTTAATCGAAGCACTACTTTATGAAATATATCTTTCACTAAAAATTTGCCTATTGTGGAAGATCCAGCCGGATCCTTTTTCTTCTTCTTCTCTATTTCAGTTGCTTTTCCTATTGTTATTGCTTTATATGTTCAAAATTTAAATCAATCTTATAAATATTGAATCAATTAAAAGCATAACTAGTTCCCTTTTTGTCTCATTTCTTTTCTCTAGCTGAATCCCGATTCATCCTAATCCCTCATCGGTTGTTTGCTCACCCAGGCCATCTAACTGCAAGAAGTGACGTCTATGGCTTTGGTGTTGTACTCCTAGAAATGCTCGCCGGCGGTAAAGCACTTGACACCAGCAGGCCCGGACGCGAGCACAACCTCGTCGAGTGGGCTCGACCCCTTCTCATCCGCCACCATAAGCTGCTGAGGATTATTGATCCCAGAATGGCAGGTCAATACTCTCACAAAGCTGCACAGATAGCCGGCAACTTGGCCTACCAGTGCCTCAGCGAGAATCCCAAGGGGAGACCCACCATGGCTGAAGCAGTAAAAGCTCTGGAGACCTGCATGAACCTTAATGAACAGTATTTACTGCAGTTCCATAATAAAACTCCTGCTGAAGCTTCTAAACGCGAAACAAAGACGCAAAAAGAAGTTAGGAGTATTTGCATGAGCAAGGGTTGTAGGGATGGTATTCTGCTTGAGAAAATGGACAGAAAGGTAAAACGCAGGTGCACAAGCGATCCACCGATGGATTTTGATCAGCCTGAGATGTCTCCAGATCCTCGGTTCATTAGGCAGTGGGGAAATCTTACTCCTGATCATTATCACAAGCGGCCATACTATGTATAAACTCTGACAGGTATTTTTTTTTAATGTAATTTATCCTTTCAGATTTCCTGTTTTGATTGTTGGAATTATTCCAGGTCCATTTGATTCTTGAATTCTTTTAAGTTTTTGTTGATTCTTTGCATTATTATACGTAATAACAGCATCGAAATTACAGGATTTTTGGTGAAAGAAAGATGAATTTATCTCAGTGCAAATAGTTCAACTGTTTTTGGCAACTTCTCTGCTTAATGAAAATTGAACAGGACAAGATAGGAAGTAATGCATTATTATTATTATTTTTAATGTAAATAACCCATAATCGGTCATGCGCACCTACAATCACATCCCATGAAGGCATAATCAATATTCTTTGCATTTTTCTTGGATTATTTCCCAATTGCTGATTCCAATCAGACTACTACAAAGAGGATAGGTTTAAAATTTATGATTTTTGTTATATCATAAATTTTAAAATTTATTATAATATAATTTGCATTTGAATCTTATATACTGACAACTTTTATCCACTTTGATGCGTTTAGGGCATCTCCAACTGAATTGCAAATGTTCGTTACAGTTACTGTGAGCCTACATCTGAACGCTAAAAATAAATTTTTTTTTAAGGCTGTGAGCAGTGCAATGTTAATGTTGATGTCGTACTATTATCAGAAACTTTTTTTTTTTGGGGCAAAAATGAAGATGAGAAAAAATATATATACATATATATAGTTGGAGATAAATTACTCTTTGATATGGCTATTACTATATTTTGAAGTGGAGAATGAAAAGTTGGATTGGAGAGGCCTTTACAAGAAAGTATTTTTATAGTCAACCTTTTGAGGGTGCTGCTGATATTAGGAAGATGTTACGGTATGCTGAACTGCTGTTCTTGCAATTTTCGCTGAAAACTCTCATAATTTCTGCAACAAGCAACAGAAAATATTAAGGCTTAGTTTTTGATCATCTTATAATTATTTTTTTTGGAAGCAAAACAACCAGCAAATTGTGTCGGTTTCCATGATAAAAAATTCATAGTTTTTTGCAAAATTATTTTGGAAAAGTTGTATTTTTTTTAAATAATAGGATTTTATGATTGAAAAAATATTTTTTGATTACTAAAAATAGAAAAGTAGAAGTCACCCAAGTGTCAAGCATTGAAACATTTGAACCCAAGCTCTGCCTTCTCAAGTCAATTGGTGGAAGCGGAATAGAAGGTTGTGTGCTTTGAGATAGAGATCAAGCTTGAAGTCCAGCGAATGGCGTGGCCAACATTTGAGCTCGATCTCCAGCCTCGGGCTGTATGGTTACAGAATCGTCGTGCCCGGTGGAAGGCGAAGCAGCTCAAATGGGAAAGTCGTCCCAAACGAAGCCTTCGTCGCCCTCAAATGTCGATGTGATACTATCCGCCTCGACTTAGATTGTTTTTCCATGTTGGATTCAGAATTGCCGGTTGACACTTTGACCCTAACTACGCTGATAAGGGAGGATGGCGGAGGATGAGTAAGCGAGTAAGAACAACTCCAAAATTAAAATGAAGGAAAAAAATTATGATATTTAATATTGATAATAATGTCTTAAAAATGTCTTTTAAATTATAGCGTTAAAATGGCTATAATTAATGTATGATTTGATTACTAAATGCTTGAGGACAACAATTTGATGGAGAGATTATTCTGCGCGGAGTTTAGACGGGAAGAACTATCCGGACGTGTGAGGTTACACTGTATATTTTATGCAGTATGTGTACAAAGATTTTTCACATATTGTGTGTATACTCACAATCTAGACGATTCTTTCCGTTCAAACTCTGCACATATTAATTTGTCTCGGTTGGACAAGTGTCCCTTTAAAATGAATTCTCATAAGGCGGACTAAATTGGTTCATACGACTTACATATACTTGCATATTGGGATTTACACACGCAACATACACACATAGTCGCCATTCTCGTTGCATCATTGTGAAAGCCGATGCCTCAAGCCATCTCTACCTCCACCTCCTCAACTCCACAGACATCTCGTTGGGAGCTAACTTGGCCTAATTATGATAAGGGTTCAAATGAAGTTAAAATTAATTCAAAAGGACTTCTAATTGAGTGAATGTATGATAATTTTTTTCTGTCATCAAAGATTTATAACCAAAAAGAATATTTAGGAGATAAGAAAATATTAATTCACTCAGATATATAATAAGGATTAAAAATACAAATATGAAGTCTCTAATAATAGGGGTTTAGATTTCGGGTCACGGGTCGGATTCGGGTCGAATTTGGAACTGACTCGATATTATTCGAGTCAATCAGTTAGCTCCCAACGGATCAACTCCATAGACATCTCGTTGGGAGCTGACTTAGCCTAATTATGATAAGGGTTCAAATGAAGTTAAAATTAAGTCAAAAGGACTTACTAATTGAGTGAATGTATGATAATTTTTTTCTGTCATCAAAGATTTATAACCAAAAAGAATATTTAGGAGATAAGAAAATATTAATTCACGCAGATATATAATGAGGATTAAAAATACAAATATGAAGTTTCTCTAATAATATTACGTACAATTATTTTGGCCTTAAAAAAAAAAAAAACTAAATTCCATATTTTCTAGAAGAGGACAGCCACATCTACAAAAATTGGCACGTCGCCTTTTTTATTTTACATTTGCTCTGTTCTCCACGCACTAAACCCTAACCCCAAGGCGCGCACACCGGCCAAATGACAGACGTCGGTGAATCGGAAACCCTAATCGAGATCGTCTCCCCCTCCTCCTCAACGCTCGATCTCAACCGATACGTTAACTTCGTTCGCGACCATGCTGCTGGCGCGATCGCAACATTCGAGGGCACCACCCGCGACACCTTCGATGGGCGTCGCGTCGTGGAGCTCCGGTACGAGGCCTACGTACCCATGGCCACTCAACTGCTCGCCGGCATCTGCGCCTCAGCCCGGGAGACCTGGGCACTCCGTCGCATCGCAGTTGCCCACCGCCTCGGCACGGTTCCCATCGGCGAGGCGAGCGTCTTCATTGCCGCCTCCGCTGTTCACCGCGCCGACGCCATGGAGGCGTGCCGATTCATCATCGATGAGATCAAGGCCTCGGTGCCTATCTGGAAGAAGGAGGTTTATGAAAACGGCGAGGTTTGGAAGGAGAACAAGGAGTTTTTCGAGCGCCAGCCGGCAGCGGCTCAGGATAGACCGTCGTGCTGCTGCGGGAGCAAGATAAGGGTACAAGATGACGCTAGCGATGGGTCGGCGGATGGGTTGAGAGAATAAGAACGTTGTGATGGAAATTTGAAGGTTGACAATGGTAAGTTGTGTTCAATGTGATCTCAGGCTTAACGTGTAGATCAATATTGGTCAATTTAATAAAATCAGGGTCAATGTTTTAAAATTTGGTTTCGGTTTCTCATTTCTAAAAAAACAAACTAGTAAGCTCATTTTTAAAATCCGGGTGGCATTATTATTAGAGAATGTGGGAAGCGATGTACCTTATAAAATTGAGATGTGATGATGGTTCCCCATAGCAGGTGTGTCAATTTTTGATACGACCCAAAACTCGACCAGGATCCGACCCGAAAAAATTCGGGTTCGGGTTGACCTGGTTAGCAAACGGGTCGGATTCGAGTTCAGATTTTTGACTCATTTGAAAAAATGGATAGTATTCGGTTTAATCCGGAAACCCGAAATCAACCCAACAATGACCCAAAAGTTGGAATCCATTCTGGATTTTCACTTCTGCCGTTGTTGTCGATGCCTGCACTCGCGGACTTCGCACGCACTCGTCGACGTCCTTTTTCCCGCAATTCCGGACTCCGCCCGCTGTCGCTGCTTTGCCACTGGCTTTGAATAGGAACTGGAAGTAGCGGCGGGAGCTTAGCTCGTGCTTCTTCAGCCAAATCTCCTAAATCCAGGTCGGTGCGTGTCAACCCGGCAAACTCGCGGGTCGGGTTCGGGTTGAAATATCCGGCTCGTTTGTAAAAATTAGGTGGGGTTCAAGTTGACCCATTTAGTTCCGGATCAACTCGGGTTTGACGCGAACCCAACCTATCAACCTTAATTAACACCCCTACCCCATAGCTTAAGGTTTCATTTAGAATAGTTTTCTTATTTCTAAAACAATTTTTTAACACAAAAACACCTTAGAGTGAGCCTCCCTTCATGTTGGACAATTAAATTGTTTATGTCAAGGCAACCCAGCAAGAGGCAATCAAGTATTGACACACCCATAATGTGTTTTGCCTTGTAATTTAATTTTAGACTAAATCAATTAAGGCCCGAGCCTTCGGCGACTAGATCTTCGAAACCCTAAATCACAATTGGCCATATTAGTTCCAAGACCTTTTCAATCCAACACGAACGCTAGGCTTTACTTTGAAGTGGTAGATCTTTCATCATGATGTCATTCATATATATGTGGAATATATGATAGGAGGTGACTCATGACTGCTAATCAAATTCTCCAGCTTTTTATCAACCTGCAAAGAAGAAAAAAATAAAAAAAAAATCTTTAATTTAAATATTGTGGTTAGGCTTAGGCATATTAAGTTGTCTCTAAGTTTTTTTTATTATATAAATATCATCAGCGGCTAATCCTTCCTTAAAATTTATGTAGTTTTCTTCTTTAAATAAAGCTTTTGTCCATTTATTTTTTGTATTTAGTAGAAAGCAATACACGCGAGTTGATATATTTTTTCATTATTTTATTACTTATTTGATTACATATACTTATGAGTACCTATTTTCCACTAACAATTGTCAGAAATGTCAACTTGATTATGATTGTGGATTAAAGAAATTTATGTCTTGGACTAAGGCTTTGTGTAGGATAATTTTCTTGTTGTTTTATAAAGATGCTTTTTAGTATCAAAATTTTTAGTTACAAAAATATTTGTACTAAAAAGTTGCTTTAAGAAGCATTAAAAAAGCTGTACCAAAGGAAGCCTAAGCTTGCCTTGAGAATGGTACAATAGGCAAACTACATAAGAGAGGGTTTTGAATACCATGAAGTGATGGAGGCAATAGTAGAAGAGAATTTTTTTTATAATATAATATATAATATTCTAGTCATAAAGGATATGTATGAATGAGCAGTTACTTGTGCTCTAAAACAAGGTGGTTTGACAAGTATTTTCCTATTTCAACTGGATTACATCAAGGATCAGCCTTAAACTCATATCTTTTTGATTTAGTCATGGATGTTCTCACTAGACATTTGCAAGAGGGTGTATGTTGGTGTATATTTTTTGTTGATGATATTATTCTTGTTGATAAGACTAGAGAGGGAGTTGAAGTTAAACTTTATGAAGGCCAATCTTAGAGTCTAAAAGATTTTGTTTGAGTATATCTAAAACTAAGTATATAGAGTGTAATTTTAGTATAACAGATCCTTTAGACTCTAAGGTTGACCTTCATAAAGTTTAACTTCTATAAAATGGTTGTGAGACTGACAATGCTTTATGGTGCTGAATGTTGGACATTAAAAGATAAGCATAATATTAAGTTAAGTGTTGTAGAGAGGAGAAATGATAATGAATCATTCAATTAAAAAAAAAGTATTGTAGAGATGAGGATACTTAGGTGGATGAGTGGCTTTTCTCTTAGAGAAAAGGTTGGAGTAGTTCCAATGGAAGATAAGATTAGATTGAGTCACCTTAGATGGTTTGGTCACATAAAATGATGGTCTTCTGTTGACCCGGTTAAGTATGGTATAGGTTGGAAAATATTAGAAATGATATTTATTTATTATATTTAAATGAGAATTTGACTCTTAACATGATACAATGGAGAAAAATGATTCATTGGACAAAAGTTTGATGTCGTTTTTGTTGTAATATATAATATTAAGATATTTATTTCAAATCTAGAGATGATGACCCCACATCTACCATTGCATCTATCCTCATCCATTCTCCTTTATAAGAACCCAACTTTCAACCATCAATTGAGAACATAGTCATATCAGTAATCACTAGTGTTCTTGGCCATTAGCTCTGAAACATAATTAATCATGAATGCTTGCACCTCAAGGGAAACCTCCCCCTAAGGTTGGTATATTTTGATGATGGCGAAGGCAACAAAGAAAATTTCATAAGATTTTTTTTTTTTGCTATTCACTCAGTTAATCTCAATCTGAAATTCTGGAAACCTTTTTTTATCAATTTCTTTTTTAAGAAAACATTATTTTGTGAACAATTATGATGAATAGGAGGCAGATATTTTTTTTTTAATCCATCATCATCCTGTTCATTTTTGCCCTATTTGGTTTTGAAGAATAGGAAGAGAAGAATGAGAATGAGAATGAGAAGGAAATGAAAATGATAAAAAAATTTAATTTAAATTAGTTTTCATCCACTCTTTGATAAATGAGAAATATTTTTTATTTCTTGTTTGATTGATGAAAGAGAAAAAATGAATGTTTGTTTCTTATAAAGATTTACACGAACGACTTGAAAGGATGAATTGATGGGGACATCAGATTGTGAAAGGTTTATCAGAGGCGTGGTCGCCGATCTACGGCCACGATCGAGTCATTGAACTTTTGATTCATGTCATGTATTTTTTTATTTTGGTGTCGTTGTATGTTGTTTTATTTTATGTTATTTTATTTCCCGTAGTACCCTTCTAAGTAAAAGGGTGTCGTATGTAAGCCCCGAGGGCATTTTCATCTTTTACTTCTCGAGTCTCATGTACTAGGCTATTAGTTCCTAGACCTTTTCAATCCAATACAAACGTTAGGCTTTACTTTGAAGGGGTAGATCTTTCATCATGATGTCATCCATATATATATGTGGAATATACGATAGGAGGTGACTCATGACTGTTAATCAAATTCGCTAAATAATGTGATCTTCTAGCTTTTTATCAACCTGCAAAGTAAAAAAAAAATCTTTAATTTAAATATTGTGGTTAGGCTTAGGCATATGAATTTGTGTCCAAGTTTTTTTTATTGTATAAATATCATCAACTGCTAATCCTTCCTTAAAATTTATGTAATTTTCTTCTTTAAATAAAGCTTTTGTCCATTTATTTTTTTGTATTTAGTAGAAATCAATACACGTGAGTTGATATATTTTCTTATTATTTTATTATTTATTTGAGCATTTAAAGTTCTGAGAGGTCTCTTCTCTTGAAATTTGCCTAATTCTTTGTTCTTCACTTGCTTGGGCAATTTTGTTAGGAAAAACATTAGTATTAGATATTATGATCAAGAGATAATAATGATAATTTATAGCTCTTGGATATGATTTGAGATGAGTGCATTAAATATATAATGAGTGTTCATGTTCGGTTCATGTTCAATTCATGTTCGTTCGTTTATTGCTTAACGAGCTTGTTCGCGAACATATTTAACGAATTTTTTTTAACTATCACACAAACACGTTCATGAACATATCTATGAACAAACACATTTATAATAAAAGCAATTGTCTATGTAAGAAAGGCATTGATTATTTATATTTATTAATTCTATAATCAAATATTAATTATTTTTATCGAGCTTATTAACGAGTTCAAAATCGAACCGAATCGTGCTTTTATCAAGCTTCTTATCGAGCTTAATGTCGAGGTTGTTCGTGAACTTCAAATGGTGTTGTTCACGAACATAAATGAGCCGAACGTATTAGTGTTCAAGTTTGTTTATTTAAGAATCGAGTATTTAAAATATTGTTAAATATTGTTCAAGTTTGTTTGTTTAGTTAATTAAATGATCACAAACAAGCTTTAATCGAACCGAACAACGAATAGCTCGTCGAACTTTTGGTTCGCTTGCAGCCCTAGTTTCTTGAGAGATTATTATATGCAAAGTCCGGATACAGAGAACCATTCAATTTTATGACTGTGAACAATAAAAATGCAGCAGTAAATAGCAAAAATATAATGGTGAATAATAACTACATTTTTATTATTTGCAATCATAAAATTGAACTGCTCTCTACATCAAGACTCCACACATAATAATCTCTCTATAATTGTTCTCAGTTTGAAAAATCTATTTTGTACTGCACAATCAGAACTACATGTTTGAACTGCTGGTGATACTCTAAGATCTAACAATTATTCAGTGGACAAATGAAGCCAATAAATGTAAATATGTAAAGTTCAATTTCCAAGGAAATTAATTTGATTTACTTGAATCACAGGGTTAAGAAAGCCTTCTGCAATATTAACGTAGGTTTCATTTGGGACAATTTTATTTCTACTTTGTAAATCAATATTTTAGTACAAAAATTTTTTGAACTTTCGAAATTTTTTTACTAAAAAACTAATTTAGAAAGCCATAATATCTTAAAAATCATAATTGGAAGAAGCTGGAGAAATTGAACTTTCAAAAGTATTTTCATCAAGACAAGCTTTAAGTTTCTGAAATAAGACGCAGAACGGTTGAATAGAGAAGTTACAGGAGGCCCTTTTCACCTGAAAGATCCAGAAGTATAAATGAAATGTCAATATAATCACTAATACAAACCTTATTTTCTTTGAGAACCTTTCTTCATTTCCATACTTTTATAACCAAAAAGATTACAGATTCACTTCAAATACTGTGGCTTTTATTGCAAAACAATTGCAGTCTCCTCGGAGACATAACACAAAAAATGGTAATAAATTAGGAACCAACATCCATAAAGGAGTTGGCTTAGTAGAAAAACAGAGCGTCTTACAAGATGCCAAACTACCAAGCAGAATGAAGCTCCATACATTGGAGAAATCATTCTGTGCACATGCTGAGCACCGTTCAGAGACCAAACATAATGCGCCACATTACCCCCTGCTCGGTACTTGGCTCGATATTGTGGCTCGGTACCCAGCTCGGTATTGATGATGTGGTGCATTCTAATTGATCACCGGACGGTAAACTGCATTCAACATCCACACAGGATAATTTCTCCACATGGTGAAGGTATTAACCCAACAAATGCCACTATATAAAAAGGAAATTACAGTTTTTTTTGTTTTTTTTTTACTTTTGAGCGAATTTCATCTCAAAATCAAATATTGCATCTGCAAGACCTTGAACACAATATCTAGATTGGAAGCGTAAGCTCCCAACCAATCATACATAATTAACGTCTAAAACTGGTGATAAAACCAGCAAAAACAAATGAAACAAGTCATTAAAATAGAAAATAAACTCAACATCCCCCAACAATACAGTCAAATTCACAAACACCATGTTCAAGTGTGTTGTCAACAAAGTTATATAATAGCGACAAGCCAGGGAAGTGGCAAAAAAAAGATTTAATGAAAAAAAAGCATGAACCATTAAGGCTTCATTCGGGACATCGTTCTTATTGCTTTCTAAAATGGCTTTCTAGTACAATTTTTTTTTAAAACTAGAAATTTTTGTATTAAGAAGCTGTTTTAGAAAGCATTAAAAAAACGGTCTCAAAAGAAGCCTAAGCATCAATCAGACGCAGGCCTCTAACTGTAGTACATCAGCTGCTGAGAGGATGTGTGGCTTGGATAGCCATCATAGACCGTCTGAGACCCGCCAGGGATGAGGCCTGTTGATGATTGGGCGGAAGAAAGGCTATGCTGCGCAGCCAAGGGCAGTGCAGCTGCCTGGCTTATGGCCAACTGACGCTGATATGCCAAAAGATCTGCATCTGAATATCCATGTGCCCCTAAAAGCTGGAAAGGAGGTCCTGGAGGAGGCAGTGGGGTTGAAGTCGTACCAGGTGGGGTAGGCTTGTTGCCCCAAGAACACTGGCAAGAGAAAAAAAAAAAGACTATAAATTAAAGCTCCATGTCATCATTGCAAGACTGAGCATAATTTTTTTTTTTTTGTGACGAGGAACCGTCCACTGCCATGATAGGATTTGCTGAGGGCGCTTGGCGGTCCATAAATACTGGCCGACCAACCGGGCCACCCATGACATTGTACTAGCAGCCGGCGCTTTCGGGCCCCTACTGAAGGGACGACTGCTGCTCGAGGGAATCAAACTCGGGATGGGGGATTCCCAACCGAGCACGCCCACCAACCGAGCTAAGCATCGGTGGGTACTGAGCATAAGAGTTGTGAAAGCACTTGTTTTCTGCATTCCACTGTGAGTTTCAAGAAAAAGGTATACTGGAAGAACATGAAAAGTGAGGCTAAGAGCCCAATTCGCATAGATCAGGCAATTGGTATTCCATAATCCATGATCTCTACTTTATATTTTCTGAGGTTTAACAATCCACATCTTTTTTTTTTCTTTTCAATCTAACATCCCACGCTTGCCCACTCCAACGTTATGTTCATGAATCTTACTTTTCAATGCAGTTTAAGTAATATTTTATATAGTTATATTTGATTATTTATTTATTTATTGAATTTAAAAATAAGCTGACATACAGCAGCCAGAGTTCAAATAATTTCAAAAGATTGTCAGGTGACTGGAATTTGATGAGTTTAGAAGATGGTAGTTACCTTTATGGATTTCCCACAAACGATCTTTCCATTTGCCATCACAATAGCTGCAGCAGCTTCGTTGTGGGTATGATACCTCACAAACCCAAATCCTTTATCTCTCTGAATGCGCACTTCCTCAATAACACCAGCACCAAGATTGTGGAATTGGCGATGAAGTTCAGCTTGTGTCACCTGAAACAACCATCAGCATATAAAATCAGTAAACCAGTAGCTAAAGACAAATCTACTTCGAGATTCTAGAAAGCAAACCTCATAAGCCAGGTTCCCAATATATACAGTAGTGTAGGCAGGATTGTTCTCTGGAGCATCATCATTTGAATTCTCCTGAGCTCCCTCTTCGCCAAGGATACAAAGCATCAGAAGCAAACGTATAATTAACCTATTTCTAATATGTAATCAGCCTCATTTTCAATATGTATGTTGCCACCTACCATTGCTAGAGATACCATTTGTTAAATGCAACGCATTTTGATCATCACTACCCTGCTTTTCCTCAACAGAATTCTTGGTTGCCCAGTTACATCTTATTTGCCGATTACCAAGCCATTTACCTGTTGTAAAAATAATATGAAAATGGCTGACAAGTACAGCTTTCAATTTTGAAAAAAATATCTAGCTAAATTAACTTACCTGACATTTCATTAATTGCATTCTGAGCTTCCTGAAATAATTGAAGGAAAAAAATCAAATTAATAATGATGAAATATATTTGCTCCAAAGAGGACAAAAAAGGATAAAATAAAAGAGAAGAACGTCAGCCATAGGATGGAAGGGTTCTTGGCATTTGTGGATAGTTGTATGGTTTTGTGAGTTAGCAAGAGATCATACACCGAAATATATCAAGGAGTGCAGTTCCAAAGAGGAGCAAATCAGAAATTTGGAGTCGATAATTTTTTGTGAGAGAGAGTGTGTGTTGAAGTTATACTTCAAAACTCACCATGCAAATATAACCTGAAACTCGCACATATTTACAACAACAATCCTCCTAAAACTGACATAGTTAGAGGCAGGAATGACATTTCAAGTAACAAAAATTATTTAGAAGGCCATTTTCTCTTAATTCTTTAGAAAGGGCAATTTAGTAAAATTAGGTGGCCTGGGATTTACAGGTGGTTGCGTATATATATGTTAAGGAGATTTTTTTGTTGTGTAATTTTGAGGTTATCCTGAAAATTTTAGGTGAATTGCATAGTGGGTCTAAGATCCTGCCAAGATTTGTTTGCCAAGTTCCTTAAACCTTCTCTTGTGTAATTCCAAGGGAGTAGCAGACCCATCGGCTTAAGCAGTACTCCGTAGCAGTTTCTGGGTAAGAAAATCTGCAGGCGACCTACTAAGCTAGCAGCAATCATGCTAGCAACATTACCATGAGTCTAGCTTCTTCCCAAGTCACCCCAGAACAGGGTCAAAAACCACCAAATTGGAAACACTGTTAGCTGTGAATTTGGAAAATTGTTGCGTTACAGACATACAGTTCATTATACTTACCTCAGGAGTTAGACGTACTGACGTAGGTATCTCTTTTAATTCTCGTTATGTTATTGGGATGGTGTCACATAAAACGGCGGTCTTCCGATGACCCGGTTAGGAAAATAGAGGTATTAGATTTGTTGACTAATGTTAAGAAAGGTAGAGGTAGACCTAAAAGACTTGGTTAGAGAATATTAGAAATTATATATTTTTTATCAGATTTAAACGAGAATTTGACTTTTAATAGGACACAATAAAGAAAAAGGATTGATGTAGCCGATCCCACGTAGTGAGACAAAGGCTTGATGTTGTTGTTGCTGTTGTTGTTGTATGTTATTGGGATGGTGGTCATCTTGTACTGTTGGATTTTAATTTCTTATAGTATTTGTCAATTTATTGGCATCAAACTTTGAAATCAAAGCACAAGATTTAGGATGCAGCTAAAAAAATAGCATCATCAAAACTAAGAGATAGTCATGGAAGAATTACATTGTGAAATTCAACAATTATAAGGTAGATTAACAACATATGAAAGGCGTGACCAAAAGTCACTTTCATTTCATTCAGATGAGGATTATTTTGGTCGCGAGACAAAATACTCTTTCCACTAAGCACTTCAAGAATCATCCAAGGAAAATGAACTTTATTGTTGAATATTGTGAGACCCACAAGTCAACGAACCTTGATAGAGACATTTAAACATACGGATTAAGAGTTCTAACAATTTGGACGATCCTCTTATAGCTCTTAGAATACATAATGTGTGCCTCCTTTCTACTATTGCAGCATGCCCCTCTTGGGGATTTTTCCCTTTTTTTTAAATAGCATTAATTAAACTCTATTTTAAGCTTTTTGGAGAAATATGCAAATACTTCACACTTTGTATAGAATCAACCAATAAAATTTAAAGTAGTTGTTACTACTTTTCTTTTCTTTGTTTCTACATAGTATCAAAGTGAGAGGTTGGGATTTCCCTGTGCCAACCTATTCCTTTTTTCTCTTGCTTCTTCTCGAGATTCTTCATTCTCTTCATCATGAATGATTCCTTTGGCTTCTCTTCCAAGAAGTTGACCATCATGAAAGGTAAAAATTAGACAAAATAAAAAGTCCATAGGCTACAACTCTCATATTGCCTTGAATAGGAGAAATTAATTAAAATGGTCTCAAACTGCAAAGACCTTTCTATAAAGAAAGGAAAATATCCATCATCATGGTATCAAAGCGAGGTTCTTTTGCTTCGCTTCCAAGAAGTCGACCATCATGAATGGTGAAAATTCAATTAAAGAAGAATTTCATAGGTTACAAGCCTATATCACTTAAATGAGAGAAATTATTTGAAATGTTCCCAAATTGTGAAGATTTTTCTAAACGGAAAGGAAAATATCCATCATCATGATATTAAAGCAAGGTTCTTTGGCTTCTCTTCCAAGAAATCGACCATCATGAATGGTGAAAATCAGACTAAATAAGAACTCCATAGACTATAAGGCTCGTATCATATAAAGACTCAAAATTTGTACTTCGGAATGAAGTGAATTCCATGATCATGGCATTGTTGTGGAATACCATGATGCTTAAAATCAATGGAACATACATTTATATTCCTTTCTACTATAAAATAAGTTTGGAACACCATCAAATAAACAATTAAAAGTAAATAATATTGCCCTCATCTACGAGATAAAAAATAAAATTTCAAAAATCAAGAAAGGTAGCATTTCTGTTATTAAGTTCTATAATGCAATGAAGAATTATTGGCTTGAATTGAATTACCGTCAAAATCTCAAGATAACATGCTCCGGTGATGTTTTAATTCACAAGCAAGTTGTAAAAAGAGAAAGAACGTATAAGTTCTTTGCAGAACTCAATGACTTCGACAAAATTTGTATTCAAATATTAAGCAGAGCAAATCTATACCACTAAATGAGATTTTTGTTCTCTCATATATTTTCGAAGGAAAAAAAGGACAATGTTCAAAACTCTAATCTCTGAAACATTTGGCACGATAACAACTAAACCTCAAGGTAAAAGACTAACTGCTACAAACTCTTTCCCTAAAAAAGGGCAAAAATCTTTTTCCAAGAGCAATTTATAGTTCAACTACAACAAGAAGAGAGGACATCAAAGAAAATGCTAGAAATTTCATGAAAAGCTCCTAGGCTATAATGAAAATAAAAATCACTAAAAAGGTAGGCCTATCATATGAAATTAGAAGGGCTCAATCTCAGAAAAAATTGGCAAACTCAAGAACTCCTTAATTTATAGTGTAACTACGACAAGAAGAAAGGACATCAAAGAAAATGCTAGAAATCCCATGAAAAGCTCCCAGGCTATGATGAAAATGAAAATCACTAAAAGGTTAGACTTGTCATATGAAATTAGAAGGCTCAATCTCAAAAAAAATTGATAAACTCAAGAACTACCTTAATTCTTAGAAAACACTATCAGGAGCTCAAAATGGTATGACTACAAAATCTTGTGTTTTCAATGCCATAAATAATTTCATCACAATTGTTTCATAGATTTAGAAGCTACTAACCACATGACCAGCCTTACCAATCTTTTTTTAGACATACAAACCCCACCCCTACAATAGAAAAATAAGAGTGATCGATAGCTCTCAAACAAATGTTGCGGGTTTAAAAAAAAAAATTTAGTTTTCTTCACATTTAACCTTAGCAATATATTTTATGCTCCTCATCTTGTAACAAATTTTCTATTAACTATAAATCACTAAAAATCACAACAAGTTTTTTTTTTTTTTTTGCTAATCACCATGAAGAAAATGATAAGGCAAGCTACACATAATGATGGCTAAATCTTCTTGAAGACGAAAATCATTTGGCATATTCCTTCATTTCCACCCTCAATACGAAAGCCATTTGATAAAATCATTATAATCTAGGGCATTCCACTTTTAAAACCCTACAATAAATGCTTCATTCTCTTTTTTAAATATAAACATGAAAAAATTCCATTGCGAGATTTGTGAAATTATCAATCATACAATCAACATTGTGTTGTTTTTGCTTAAAGTGATTATAAACATTGTATTCATTTCTAATTTTCACTCTTGACATATAAGGACCTTAAAAAATTCCCAGTATTTCTAAAGCTAAACTATATGTTACTTTTATTGATAATTGCACTTGAATAATATGGATATATCCTATCAAACAAAAATTAGATGCCAATATTATTCTCCCCATTTTTAGTGCCATGATACAAAAATAATTTGATACTAACATCAAGGTATTTCAAATTGATAATGCTCGAGTTTACTTTAATCATGTGTTAAAGTCTTTATTCTATAAAGAAGACATCATCCACTAATTCTCATATCCTGATACTCCCTAAAAAATGGAGTGATAGGAAGAAAAAATTATCTTAGCAAGTCACTGAGGCTCTTCTCTTCCAAAATTAAGTGTCAAAAAGATATTGGGGAGAAGCAGTCCTATGTGCCACACATAATTAATAGAATACTCTCCAAAATGATTAGCTTCAAAAGTCTTATAAATTATCAGGTTGACTTCCCCACAAAAAAACTCTCTAAAAAATTCCTCTAAAAATCTTTTAGTGCATTGGTTATGTCCACATGCATAAATAACATGGGTAAATTTAATCTTAGAGCTCTCAAACGTATCTTTATAAAGTAATCCTCTACTCAAAAAGGATGTGTTATCATCCCACTATCAAAAAATTCCTTCAAAAGATGTCACTTTTGATGAGAAGCAATTTTTTTAATTAACTCATATTTAAGAGGGAACTCTTAACAAGAATATAAGTTCAATGAAAACTCTATCTTTTATCTTGACAATCCTGTAACACAAACTCTAAAAAAATCATTCACTATACCCCTATAGATGCATATGATTATGAAAACCCATATGATTAATGATGTGAGAAATTATGAGAATGTTCTCTAGTCATATGGTTAACAAACTAAATCTACCTACCCTATAACACCCTACGCCCCGCAAATTTTCATTGCTTCATAAAAGAAATGAGATAAAAGAAACAATCAAATACGGTATCTAGTGCAATTTTTCATAGGTAAGAAATTACATGAGAAGGTTCAGTGTGATGCCATCCCTATGAATGCATATTATTACTTGGCAATATGATACGCATATTATCCATACAGGACATACGCATAACTTAGAACACAAAAGAAATAAGGTAGCACTAAAGCCTTTGAAAAAAGATATTAAGGAGGATGCTAGAAATGATTTGATAGTCTCTAAATCGATGTTCTTAAGATCTATGCAAGACTTCCTATCAACATATGCCCTCGCAGATCTGAAAGAAAATCAAGAACAACTGCAAAAAGAGAACCAACCCGTATTTCAACAATGCAAAGATATGTTGACAATCAATGGTAGGCTCATTTCTATCAACAAAATTTACTTAGAAGACCCTTTCTTCTTACTTACATAGGAGGAGTAGTTTAGTAATTGAGTGAATTAGAAGTTAACCTATGCTTGCCTATATATACCCTCTTGTTATGTTAAGAAAGGAAGTTTTTTTGGAGTTTAATATAGGGTTATCACAAGAACTTTAGGGCAGATTCCCTAATTTATGAAAGTAGAGTGGAGAAGACCCAATACCTTGCAAGTTCCCTAACCTTCTCTTGTGTAATTCCAAAGTTGTTCATCAGTCCTAGCGGCGGCTGGACTATTTGGTGGTAGTTTCTGGGTGACAAAATCTGCAGGGGACTTTCTAAGGTAAGAAGCAGTGAAGCTAATCACGGCAATAGGAGTCTAGCTGTCTTCCCTCCAATTTATTTTCAGTCAAATCACACCAGAACAGGGTTAAGAATTGCCAAATTGGAAATAGGACAGGGTTTAGGGAAAGGGAATTCCTACAATTTGGATATTCCTGAATGTAGTAGCTGAGTGTTTCTTGGATCAACATCTCACATCAGGTTCTTTGTTTTTATAGCTTGGCTAATTTCACCATGTGGTTCCCATTTAAGCACTTGACCGCAGTTTTTGTCAGGGATTTTGTCTGCAACAGGTTGCTTGCTGAAATCTTCCGCCATTTCCAAGTAAGAATCCCACCATCAATTCTCTGTTTCAGCAATATCATCTACTTTGTCCATCTCCACTTTCAGAAATGTTGGGAATAATCTCCAGTTCTTGATTCAAGAATAATCCCAAGTTCTCCATTATCTAACCTTATAAATTAAATTTCTATTAATCTGCAGCAGAATCTACCTTTTGTATAGAGTTCCTGTTGCAGGTGGGTGGCAATCAACCAATACAGTGTTCCAGCAATCAGCTAATACACTGGAGGAATTGCAGCTTGATAGTTGAAGACAGTGCCGGAAACATTCAAGACCAGTCCCTAGAATAGAGTTTGGAAATCATTGTTAGCTGTGAATTTCAATAATTGTTGTGTTACAGATCATTATACTTCCCTCGGTTTTGGAGTTAGACATCACTTATTTCATTCTGTTCTTGGGACAGTGCTTATATTGTACCAATGGATTTAATTCCTTGAAGCTTCTGTCAGTTCACCGGTTTCAAACACATTCGTTGGCTCATTATCAAGGAATGCTTTCTAAACATTAAATCAATGGAAATCTAACATGAACCTCACCATCAATAACCAAACATTTCCTTTACTAGTATGGTACATGCCCCAACATTAGCTTGGAGAACTTCTAGAGGCTTAAGGCTAGTGCTTTAATACCATGAAACAACCTATACAATATGATGGGAATCACACGGCTAGTAAACTAAATAACCTTTGGACAGGCAATTTAATTATAATATTTACTGCATCACCTGGACTAGCCTTTTCAGTTGTTACATGATTTTACACAGAAAAATTACATGATCTTTCAGTTACAACATTCCCAATGAAATGGTTAATTTTGAAAGCAAATAAGCAACAAAACACTAATATTCAAACACGAAAGATCAAACATTCAACTTGCTAATTGCAGTTTTCATCAAATAAGCATAAATTACCTGCTTGTTGCGAAAAGAAACAAAGCCGTATCCTCTAGAACGCCCAGTTTTGTTATCCCACATGACACGTGCATCCCTGTTAGTCACACAACAAAATATAAGATATTTAAGGTTGCATTTAAATGGCAATTCAATAGGCTAAATTTTGGATTGTGTAAACCTATTAGCATAGAAAGATCTACGGTACTTACGAACAACTGGGATAAACTTGAAAATGATTGAAAAGCATTGAATCAGTGACCTCTGAGCCAAGATCACCAACAAAAACATGGAAGTGCCCTGTCAAACACAGCAAAAATGATAAGGAAAACAAGCAAGCAACCACAGCCATGGAAGAATCAAGTTATAAGCTCAATAATGGAAGACCACTCACCAGATGTATCTTCTCGTTGACCACTTGCATAAGCCCAATTCACCTTAATTGGCAAACCATATCTGCAATAGACAAATTGAAGTTGCTCAATAAAACAGTGAAAAGAAAAAACGAAGCAGCAAAACTAGAGAAAGTCCAGGTTACTGACAGAAGACGTCCATTCAAGGTCATAATTGCAAGGGATGCAGACCTCCGGTCATGATAATCAACGAAACCATAAGAAGACTGCCAGTAGAGCAATTGCAACGCTTTAGATAAGCCTTTTTATTAGAAATATAAACTCTAAATTCACAAAGTTGATTCATGAAGATAAGAAGAAATAGAGCCAACACTGTACGCATCTGAAAGCCAACCTTAAATATTATTAATGAAAAACAAGCCATCCATTAGAATGAGTTTCTGACATCATTTTGGGTTAACAAATTATCATTTAATATTGTTGGCAAATAAGGTGGCGGCCATTACTAGTTGATAATACAAAATGCATTTTATCCAGCATCCTTCTTTTAACCAGGAATATAGTAGTAATGGTGCAAAGAATTCAAGACAAGAATTTAAGATCATAATGAAAAAGAAGGTAGATTCCAGAGATGCTCAAAAAAGTGGAGAATAAAGATAAGCCACTAAAACTTAAATTCCATATGAATCCCAAAAATCATGTCAAGTATATTCCCTTTTTTTAGCATACTCGCATGTGAACTTCTTTGACTTGTAAATATTTTTCCAGTTAGTAGGATTATATCCACAATCAACATTATGTTTATATCTTTTTTATATTACTCTTAAAAATGCATGCTAAAATATTAAAAATGTTGCACTTTGGCATATGATATTAACATATGACAGACTTTTAATAATTTAATAGTGCTCATGATGATGATGATGACAATACTAACAAGTGAAATTTCTTCTCATAAGCATCCTAGAATTAACATGGAAAAAAATCAACTGAGAGCATTGTAATAAATCTCAATTATTTCAAATTAATAATTGTCATTCACTATTATTGACAAATCATATGATACCTACCAGTGATAGTTTTAAACATCATGAATCTATTATATAAACAGTGAACATATCAATGAAGACAACTTCTAAACTATGAGGTTAAAATAGAAAACATCTAAGGAGAACTACACAAATAGAGAATATCATGAAAATTCAAAAATAAATTTATTATATTACAATTCTACCAACTATAATAAAAGTTAGGCAACAAAGAAGTCATTGATAGATAACTTAAGTGTAATAGAAATACGAACGTTGAGATGGATATGCTAAAAAAAAAAAAAAAACAGTGTGAAAAAAGATTATATTAGAGTAGTGAAGGAAGTAACACATAATAAAGATAAGAGTAAAAGATATACATAAGTAGTTTGGTCATTTACAATATGTGGAATAAGTAACAATAAGAAAATTATATAGAATTAATGATATGCTTATGATGAGGGAAGTAACACATTAAAGATTGTTAAATTCAGAGAATTGGAGAGGGAAAAGACTTAATTTTATTGCACAAACTTGTCGCTATTTATAGATCTATACAAGATACATTAATAAAGAAACAAATAATTACAGAATAATGCATAATTGCTCTAATATAATCCTTCCTAAATCAGCCATCTAAATATGAAAGGAGATCAGCATGATCCAGGTGAGCCTCCCACTGATTCCTATCTTATAGCCGTGGGACCAAAATGCCAAGGGACGGCTAGGATTTAATAGGTGAGCCTCTCACAAATTCCCATCCTAGCCGTGGGATCAAAATGCCAAGGGACGACTGGGATTTAACACTCCTCCTTAAGCTGGGAAATCCAGATCCGTCATTCTCAGCTTAGTAATCAGTCCTAGAAAGGTAGAATTATTGAATCCCTTGGTAAGAATATTTGCAAGATGGTCTTTTGAAGAGACATAGTCGATACATATAAGACCACTGTCTAATTTCTTCCTTTTATTAAATGTTTGTCCACTTCTATGTGTTTGGTCTTGTTATGTTAAACCAGATTGTGAGCTATACTGATTATTGATTTATGTCATGGTGTAGCTCCATGGGTCATTCCCACTTGATCCTTAGGTCTTCTAGAATTATGTGATCCATAGTAGATCACATATTTCTAAGGTCATAACTCTGTATTATGCTTTTGCGCTAAATCTTGTCACCACATTTTATTTCTTACTTCTCCATGTAACAAGATTTCCTCCAAGAAATGTGCAGTATCCTGTGGTAGATCGTCTATCTACTGGTGATCCTGCATAATTTGCATCAGTATATGCTTCTGAGGTTATTCCACATTCTCTTCTGAAGAGAATCCTTTTACCAAGATTTCCCTTAAGATAGTGCAGATTCTGTCTACACCTCGCATGTAAGTCTGCTTTGAATTTTGCATGAACTAGCTGACCATGCTTACAACAAATGTCATATTTGGTCTGGTGTAGGAAAAATAGATCAATTTCCCAAAAGTCTCTGGTAAGCTCCTTCAGCTACATTTAGATCTTATTTAGCTTCACCTAATTTGAGATTTAATTCCACTAGTGTTACTGTCAATTTACAAGCTAATTTATCTATTGGGGTTATTCCACAGTCTCTTCTGAAGAGAATTCATTTACCTAGGTTCCCCTTAAGATGGTGCAGTATTCTGTCTACAGCTTGCATGTGAGTCTACTTTGGATTTTGCATGAACTGGTTGATCATGCTTACAAAAAATGCTATATTTGGTCTGGTGTGAGAAAGGTAGATCAATTTTCCCACCAATCTCTGGTAAGCTCCTTAATCTACATTTAGATCTTTAACTTCACCCAATTTGAGATTCGATTCTACCAGTGTTGGTGCTGGTTTATAAGCTAGTTTACCTATTTCTTTAAGAAGATCATTAATGTATTTTTATTGTGAAATGAAGATTTCTTTGTTGGAGTAGGCCACATCAATTCCTAGAAAATATTTTAATCTACCAAGATCTTTAATTTCAAGCTCCTTTGCAAGACAGTTCTTTAGAATTATTTTCTCCTTTTCATCGTTCCCAATCAAGATGATATCATCCACATAAACTAATAAAATTGTGACTTCACCTGAGTCTGAGTGCTTGAAGAATAATGTATTGTCTCATTGGCTCTGTCAATAACCATTAAGTAGTATAACTTTTGAGAATCTTCCAAACCAAGCTCTAGGTGACTGTTTTAGCACATATATAGCCTTTTTTTAACCTACACACTTTGTTACCCCCAGATTATTCCATGAATCATAGTGGAATCTTCATAAATATTTCTTCCTCCATGTTCCCGTGTAAGAATGCATTTTTGACATCCAACTATTCCAGATGCCAGTTATGATTAGTTGCTAGTGAGAGCAGGATTCTCACAGTGTTCATCTTAGCCACAAGTACAAAAGTTTTCTGACAGTCAATCTCATATGTCTGGAGTGCACCCTTTCGCCACCAGTCTTGCTTTATACATTTCTAGTGTATCATTAGCTTTATATTTCACAAAGAACACATATTTGCAACCGACTGATTTTTTTCCCTACTGGTAGGTTAGTGATCTCCCATGTATTGTTCTTTTTCAGGACCTGTATTTCATCTTTCATGACACTTTTCTAATTTTCATCAGATAAGGCTTCAGAAATATCATTAGGAATATAAATATCATTTAGTATAACTAGAAAATTTTTGAGTGAATCTGAGAAGTTATGGAATGATACAAAGTTGGTTATGAGGTACAAGGGAGGTTTTTTTGGTGAACTTGTATTTACCTCAGTTTCAAGAGACGGTTCAGAATCTTGGATATGCTCTGGAGCATAATTTAGATTTGTACGCCTTGAATACACTTTACCAAACCTTGTATTATCCATAATAGCTTTGTCCTCAATTTTCATGGCTTTGATTTTAGGTTTAGGTGGATTGGTTTGAGGTAGAGCTAAAATGTCATGAGGGGTAAGCTCACTTTTCTCATATTCCTCAATTTCGGTCTTCCCTTGAGATGAAGTTTTGTGAAATAAGATTTTTTTTTTTTAATGTCGTCATGGTCTTATTTGAGCATGACCTACTTAAATAAGGCCATTATTTTTTTTAGCCGACCCCATGTAATAGGACAAAGGCTTGATGTTGTTGTTGTAAAAGTAATGTCGACAGATACAAAAGTTTTCTTGGTAGAAAGATGATAACACTTATAACCTTTCAGGGTGGATGAATATCTAACAAAGATACATTTGAGTGTTATTGGATCTAATTTTCCTCTATTTTGATAGAGAATGTGAACATGGTCAATGCACCCAAAGATTCTGGGTGTGAGGTTATTATGGGTTTGAAATTCAAGGTAAAAAGAGGATAGAATATCCATTGATGTTTTGAGTCCCAAGGTTATTGAAGGTAGTCAGTTTATGAGATATGTGGCGGTTAGAAGGGCTTCCCCCTAATAGGATTTAAGAACATTGTGGTGGAATAGAAGTGCACGGGTGGAAGGTACAAGATGGCCATTTTTTCTTTCTACAACTCCGTTTTATTGTGGGGTATGAATGCAGGAAGACTCATGAATGATATCTTTCTTTTGAAAGTAAGAGGATAGAGTTTGATAAAAATAGTCTTTGGCATTATTGGAATAAAATTTTCTTATTTTTATCCAGAATTGATTTTGGATCATGGTATAAAAAATGGGAAGAATAGTGCTCACATCGGATTTATTTTTATAGAGAAAGATCTAAGAGATTCCTAGTGAAGTCATCAATGAAGGATACAAACCATTAGACCCTTGAGATGTTAGTAATTTTTTATGGTCCCCAGATATCATTATGAATAAGGTAGAAAGAAGGATGACCTCTCTCAATTTTGTTTGGAAAAGAAACTCATTTATGCTTTGCTAACTTGCAAGTTTCACAATGAAAAGATTCATTTTCTAACTTGTAAAAAAATTTTGGGTACACATTTTTAAAGACATCAAAAGATGGATGACCTAATCTAAAATGATGAAGTTAAATAGTATATTTTTTATTAAATAAGGATAACATAGAATAGTGATTATTGATAATAATGAATTTGTTCAGCCCTTCCTCATAGTGCAGTCCATCTCTCTCCTTAGCAAGTCCAATCTTCTTTCCCGGTCTCTAGTGCTGAAATAAGCAAGTAGGGTTAAATAGGACTTGAAAATTATAATCACTAGTAAGTTTTTGTATAGAGGTTATGTTTGTGGATAATTGAGGTACGTAGAGCACATTTTTTAGAGTGAGGAAGGGAGATAAAGATACGTCTCCTTGGCCCATTATTGTGGTAAGAGAACAATCAGCGGTGATGATTTTCTTATAACTCAGGCAAGGAGTATAGTTGATGAAGTGGGAAATTGAGTGTGTCAAGTGATCTGTGGCTCCTGAGTCAATGATCCATACTCCTTTCAAATGATTTTTAGAGGCACTTAATCCAATGGATATAAAAAATTTACCTGAAAGTGCAAGGGAAAAAAATGCATGTGGTTTTTCAAGCGATACAAGGAGTTGTTTTAGCTTATCAATATCTTCTTTGTTGAGCTCTCTGAAATTGGACTATGTTTATAGATTGTGCTGACTTGTGTAGTGTTTAGCTTGTGATGTTCTCTTCGTCTACTTCTTTGATTCCACTCATTACTTGGGGGCTTTCCATGTAACTTCCAGCATGTCTCCTTGTGTGTCTTAATTTCTTGCAATAATTGCACCAAAAGGAGCATTTGTCTTGAGGTTTTGATAAATCCTTACCTCCTTCCTTCCATGACGCTTTTTTTGCTACCACCATTGTAGAACCTTCAGTAATCTTTGGTTCCAGCATTACACCTCGTCAAATTTCCTCAGCACGAATGAGAGAAATGGTCTCATTTAATGAAAGTGTCTCCTCTTTGTCAATGACCTAAACTCTAACTTGGTAAAACTCTGTATTTAATCCTGCAAGAAAGTCATATAGTCTATTTTTCCTCAATAAAGCTTTTTAGGATAGCTGCATCTTCTTGACACTTGGTCTCTACGCATCTGTAGTGATTAAGTTCTTGCCGCAAGCTTTGAAGGAGAGTGGCATATTCAATCATGGTCTTGCTTTCTTGCTTTGTGCTTCCCACCTTGACTTCATTTTCAAAGATTTGTATAGCATCCTGAGCTTTTGAGAAGGTTTGCTTAGTGGCATCCCATATATCTTTTGTAATTGATAGGAACATGAAAGTATCACTAATATCTAGAGTCATGGAATTTCATAACCATGACATGATCATGAAGTCTGCTTCATCCCATGCCCAAAACTTAGGATCTTTTTTCTTTTGGCCCAACCCCAAATAGGTGATTAATATTTCTTTTTCCTTTCAAATAGGTCTTCACAAATTGAGACCACTTCAAATCATTCTTCCCATTTAAGCGATAAGAAGGTTATATATTTTGGAGATCTCCCCCTTGGTGCACCATATAGTCCTCCATTTGGTCAAAGCATTGGAAGGAATTTGCTTCAGACATTGTGGTGGCAACGGGAAACAATGAAGGTTATATCAAACAGGGCAGCAATGAAGGCGGTGTTGGTTATAGATAGGATAACAACAACAAAGGAAGGTTGTCCAGACTCCGCATAGAACAACTTTTCTGGCGATGAAGGCCTGACAGCACAAAAAATTCAGAATTCTGGCAATGGCAATGAAAGCTCTGATACCATGTTAAATTTAGAGAATTGGAGAAGGAAAAAAGCTTAATTTTATTGCACAAACTTGTGCCTATTTATAGATCTCTACAATATATGTTAATAAATAAACAAATAATTACAAAATAAGGCATAATTGCTCTAATATAATCCTTTCTAAATCAGTCATCTAAATATAGAAGGAGATCAGCGTGATCCAGCTAAGCCTCCCACGGATTCCCGTCTTAATCGTGGGATCAAAATGTCAAGGAACACCTAGGATTTAATAGGTCAGCCTTCCACGTATTCTCATCCTAGCCGTGGGATCAAATTGCCAAGGGATGACTAGAATTTAACTAAGATGAGTATTAAAAGACATAGTTAAGTAGTTTGGTTACTTACAATAGGTGAAATAAAAAATAATAAGCAGATTATATGCAATTCTTGAAATGATTATGAAGAAAAAAAAAAGGAGAAACCAAATATAACATGGCTAAGTTGCACAAAAAGACTAGTGCAACAAAAATCATATAAAAGCATCATGAATAAATATAGAAAAATTCTCCAAGTAGGATAGAGTAAAAATTAGTTAAATTATAAGGGGATATGAGTAACACTTTAAAGATATGTAGCAAAAGACATAATTATGAAGTTTGGTCATTGACAATAGAACTACAAAGGGCTAAGATGAAACAATAAAGGGATGAAATTAATTTGATTGGATTGGGAAGGAAAAAAAGAAGACCAAATGTAACATGGCTGGAACTTTTATAGAAGGATTGGTACAAAATAGATCATGTAAGACTTAACATGAATACAAACAACAACAATATCAAGCCTTTATCCTAAACGTGGGGTGATGATGTGATACGTTCAAGAATTGCACATGAAATTCATTAAGAATCACAAAGTTTACCAAAAAAAGATTAAACGTTCGTAGTTTAAGATTCAAGAACTTTCCGTTAGCAACATGTTATGATAAGCGGTTACAAGCTAGTGTTTAGACACAATTAATGAAGAATCTCAAAAGTTACACAATAAAGCAAATGCGGAAAATAATAGAATCACCACGGCTAATGTCTAGAAAGTTCACAATGAGTACCTTGCTCACTCTCACTCAAATTGGGCTTAGCGGAAGAAGGCCTTTACCAAACTTAACGATGCCACGAAGACAGTGGCCACACCGATGACCTTTAGCCACGGAGGGGTTGACGGTGACGAGGACGGCGTGAATGATTGACTGTCGATGCTCCAATTGTATTTTGGATGTTGTCGGTCAACGACGCTTGCAAGGATAGGAACCACCCGTTCTAAATAATCTCCCACGGTGTCGTCGTCTTCAAATCCTACGTCAAAGACTGGTGACCGTAGGATATTCAAGCTTCCGTCGGCGTTGAAGACTAGTCCCCACTCAAACTCCGGATCCGCCATACATGCTTGATGTTGGGGAATTCTTCCAAGGAGAAGGGAATTAGGAGGCGGTGAGGAGTAGCCTTAACACTTGACGAAGGAGAGATAGGGAGAGGGGAGAGGGGAGAGCTGGCGGAATTCCCAAGGAGGAGGGGAAGTTCGGCCCAGGGAAAATAGAAAGGGAGCTTAGGTTTAGATGAGAGGAAGGGAGATTTACTAAAATATGAATTGATCTCAAATTTTAGTAAAATTTGGAGGGAAATACTTGAGAGTAATTTCAAATTTCAAATGTAATTAAGGGGGCTTAATGAGCCATTAATGGGGCTCATCAAGAGGGGTGGCCGGCGGCATGCTTGGAGAGAAGGAGGAGATTTAAATCTTAAAACTGAAATTAATTTCAGTTTTAAGTAAATCCGGAGAGAAAACCTTTGGATTCAAATTAGAATTTCAAAACGGTCATAGCATTAATCTCGCAATTCATGGGGGAGATTTCTCCTTGGGGCCGGCGGCATGCATAGAGGGAGAGGGGGGGATTCAAGGGAGATGGTTTCCAATTTAGGAGGGTGATGTGGCGATAGGTTTCATAACTCCAATCTAAATTAAATCTCCTCATGAAAACCTTCCTAAATTGGATTTCCAAATTAGGAAAGAATTTGAAATCTGAAATTTCAAATTTGAACTTTGTGTATGGAAGGGGTCGGGTGGGTGAAGGGGACGTCGCCGGCAAGGTGGCCGGCCGGAGTTTGGATGGTGGTCGGCGGCGGGTTCCTCAAAGGGACGGCGGCAATAGGTTGAAGAGGGATTTCTTGTAGTGGGGGGGGGAAGGAGATGGATGGGAACACAAACGAGAAGATAGAAAATTCTAACCACGAATTGAGGACTCTTCCAACGATTGGTGGGCCTTGCGATTTGCTCCCCTTGGAGCTCTCTCTCTCTCTCTTTCTTCAAGCTCTCATGCAAGAACACAAAGAAGAAACAAAGTAGATTTTCATTCCAATATTCATTAGCCTCAATACAACATGAGATGACCTATATATAGGTCCCAACACAAAAGAAAATACAACGACTAAATTGCCCTCGAGGCTACAATCATGACTCAGCTCATATTAAGGGTACAATAGGAAACTCCAAGAAATAAAGAAAAAAATGCATAAAGAAAATACATAAATAACTAGAAATATAAACTCTGAATCGTGGCCGTCGATCTGCGCTGTCTCCTGCGATACACATGCATGAATCTCTGATCGATGTCCGCATCAGGTGAAACTTAACATGAATGAATAGAGAAATTCCACTGATCCCAAATAGTTGGGATAATGCTTATGAAGATTTTTTATTTTTTTTTGTAAGTTTCTTAAGTTTTCTTAAGGCTGTAAATTTATTGAGAAAATAACTAAAAAATGGATTATCAAGTAAAACGCTAATAAATCTAGTATAAACTCCATAACATGAATGCTTTATTGAGGGTAAAAGGTAACAAGGACCAAATAAAAATAGATTTAGCTTCAAAATTGTCATACAACTTGAGGTTATAATTAATTCTAAACAAAAAAAAGTTTTTGAGGGTTATGCATGTTCTCTTCAGATGTGCATGTATCGAAAGAACAAAAAAGAAATAAACATAAGAGAGAATTATAATGTATCTATCACATAAACATCATAGCACCAATATATACAAGTGCTAAAAATTCAGCTTTAACCATCGAAAAATAATAAATTTCAATGGAGTTATAAAATCTTGTACTAAAGTGCCTTGAATTATTAAACAAATAAGGTCATTCAATTTGATATAGATATAACACAATGGTTTACAAGTGCCTGACAAACATACGGAGAATCAAAACTATGGAGAAGACAATCATACGAAAATTCAAAACTAAGTACAAGCATTGCATGCTACTAGGCATCTGAGAAAGTTTAGGAGTTATAATAAACGAATGTATAGATAGAATGATTGGCAAGCACCATGATTACGATTTGTTCAGGCATGCATAGTACTACTAAACAGATAATATGATTCATAGAAAACCTTTTCTTTTCGAATGAGTTTGCATCCTTCAAGTGGACCCATATTTTGGAAAACTTCTGAAAGAAGAGCTTCTGTGACTTGGGGATGGATATTGCCCACAAACCTAGTTATGATCATGCAATAAGAATATCAGAAACAAACACAAATAAATAGAAGCATGCAAGAATAAGTAGCAAATTTCTCATAATAATGATCAAAACACAACCAAGAACAAAATAAATAAATTATTTTGAACGAAAAGAATATCAAAATGTCTAAAGCGAATAGCTAAAGGTTACTTCCAGACATAAACAAAGTAAAACAGAAAATCAAACTTTCTTCGAAGAAATGCTTAATTAAATGTCCACAACTGCTTAATTGAATGTCCACAACTGACCAATATCAGTAAGAGGAAAGAAAGAAAAATAACAAAAAGGGTCTATTAGAAAATAGAACTACTTCAAAACACTCACACACTGCGGCAAGTAGATGGATCAAAACCAGGGGGGAGATTGCCACTTGGAACAGGCTCCATCTGCAAAATGTGGAAGTAAAAAAGAAATGAAAAAAAAAAAAAACCTAGAAAAAACTAAATGCACTCCTACATCCAATAAAGAAACAAGAAAAGATCCTACTAATATAAATAAAATTTCTGGTCTAATCACAAGATTCTACTCATTAAAGGGAAGGATTAATACTTGTAACAGTTTTTTAAGCAACAGAAAACAATCAAATGTACTAACAAGAAAAATATGGCAAGCATTTGTTCTGCTTCATTTGATTGATGTGAAATTTGGCTAAGGTGAAATGAAAAAGTCAACACTGAATAAAGCCCATACAAATCATAAATATTTTTCCAGCAAAACACAAACTGTTCCAACATATAAATAGCAAAATAACCCTCAAATATGCATAATGAGTTCGTGCACAAAAGGGTGCACATAAATTCACCATTGCATAGAAGCTAGAAAGAGCAAAAATAGAAATACCACCATTCAAAGGTGAAGCAACCAAATCAAAAATAGGCTTCTTTTTGTTAGAATGAAAGAAAATCATTTTGAAAATATGTAGCCTGTAAGTGATTCTAAAAGAAATACCACTAACATAAGTACCTGTTGTAGATATAAATCTTAGGAGCATAAAAGAAAACTTCACGAGAAATAATTTTTCCTGGAGCAAGATGGTGGAACTCAAATGTTGAAAGTTGTTAAAATTTCAAGATAAGTTGCTAATAAAGTCAACATGGAATTCTTAAGTTGAGTCAATCGTATGGGGGTTAAGATAGTTAATTCTAGTAGGAATATATGATTTACACTGGTATGGCAAACCTAATAATACTTGCGAGGTATGAATATATAATTCTAGTAAGAATTTTCGGGTTTATTAGTTGAAGAATCAAGGTAAAATGGGCAAAAGCTTTGCAAAAGAAAACCTCATCATGAGATCCTCATAAAGCACTCAAGAATGATAGGAGGATGAAGGGTCATAAATCAAACCCGAATATTTGGGATAAGGCTAATGCTGATGAGTAATTTAATCAAAATAGAATTAATTTATTTGTCATGAATGGTGAGACCAAAGCACCTCTACAATGTCATTTCAATCAACATGAAACTAATTAAATACAAATTCAACAAGATCAGCACCAGATATTTTATTGTGCACAAACAAAATGCTTATACGATGGGGCATATTATAAGCGACATCTAAGGGTGGACAGCAAAACAAGTTAAATTAATAGAAAGGGAGGTAAAAATACCTTATTTTGTGTTCGATTCAGCCTAAATAGATGTTTTAGTTAACGCTAAACTATTTTGTGTGCATGCCCTTCACAAAATCCTCGTAAAATAATTGGTGCGTTTGATTTGCAGAAATTTAGCAAAGATGGTGGTGAGAAATTGAATGATAATGCAGATTTCATCATTATTTTATCTTCCACCTAGCAAAGATCGAACAAAGCTGTGCAAACAGTGAAGAGAGAAAATGCCGTGATATTATCAAACAAATGCTCGAACGGATAATAATTGTGACATTGAAAAAAAACTTCCTCAATATGGAATAGAGAAGAACCATAAGAAAGAACGTAATAATAACTGGAAAGCTTCTAATGTCAAATCTTCTAATGGGACAGGGAGATCAGAACCTGTGATATGGCTGCGAGTACGCCGGAATGGTAGAGCTGCTGCTGCTGCTGCTGCATAAGAGCCTGCTGCATCAGAGCTTGCTGCTGCTGTTGCTGCTGTTGTTGCTGCTGCTTTATCCTCTGATTCATCTTCCTCCCTCCGAAGAGGCGGCAAGGGGATCACGAGAGCAAACCCCAGAAAAAGACGATTGGATCGATTCGAATCCCCTTGTGCAGGAAAAACCCTAGAAACAGCGGATCTGAGGATTTAGAGATGATTCAGAAGAGAGGCGGAGTAACCGGGAAATGTGAAGGATCGGCGAGACGAATGCATGTGTAATGAAATCTAGTCGCTGCCGTTTCCGATGGGGGGTTTGGGAAATGTTCTCTTTATAATCATCTCTCAAACGGGTCCGGTGAGAAATTAGAGAATCAGGGGCTCAGGAAAAGGGCAAATTGGAAAAGGTTCATAGAGACTAAATATGAACAAAAAATAAAAATAAATCAAATAGAACTGCCCAAAAAAAATTATGAAAACTGTTATATTCTAATCTATTAAGGAATATGTCTCCAAATATTATTTATTTCAAGTACGATTATATATTGCTAAATTGCTAAAAAAATCTATTTGATAAAGTACAAATCTCAAAGCAAATTATAATAAAATTTTTTTATTTGAATTTAAGATTAATTCAGCTTTAATCTCAAAAAAATTATAGTCGAGTTGAACATTTTGACAAGGAGAACTCATTAACACCAAAAAGGAATTCAATCCAAATTTAAATGAGCATATATCAAATACTTTAAATATAATTAAAAGCTTTATAATATTAATTGTATGAGCAAATAATATCTAAATTTTACATGCTTGTAGTAATCAAGCATTTTAACAATATGAACCCAATAAGCTCAATATTACTTAATTTCAATATCATTAATGTATTGAAACATTGAAAATTGATAAAGAGATTCATAATGGGTTGTCCAATAGGCTTTTTGGTTGTCATCTATATTTATAAAGAGTTATCACTTTCAAAAAAGTATGAATAGATTGTCACTATCTATATGAGGCTAGTATTTAAGACAAAAAGGAAGGATCATAGAAGCTAACGTCCAACTAGCATCTTAGTGCCTCTATCAGACTATCATGGACCAACCATCACTATTTAATCGTCATTGTCTAACCATCTATATTAGAATGTTGTTGTTCGACCACTACTGTAGAACTACCACAATCAAATTGCTAGTGCATGCCTACCAAATCGAATTGCCATTGTATGACCATCGTCTTCAAATCACTGCACTCTGACCACCAATGTTTGACTACAATCCCACTACCACCATCACCAACTATAGTTATCAGAACATTGTCGTCTAACAACAATCCATTGGCCACCATAACTAGATTATGGTCCTCCAACCATTATCTCCTGATAATTATAGCCTAATCAACATCTCTCGATAATGGTCATTTGACCACTATCACCCAAGTATAATCCCTTAACCACCATCTCCCACGATCAATGTCAGCCGACCACAATCCTTTGAACACTATCACTCATCTACGATCACCATCACCCGATTACGACCCACAATCACCATCACCAAAGTATAATGTAACGTTCGAACATGAATCAATTGGTCCGGGCCTTCCACACACCAACCTGCTTAGCAATAATCGAGTTTCTTTCCTTCGCGCATGAGCTGAACCTCAACACTCCTCTCTCCAATCGCATGAATCTTGTGATTTTTCTCACTCCTTTTGATTCTCCTACACATCTCTCTCTCTCTCTCTCTCTCATGCGAAATAAAAGCCTAGGACATCATTCCAACCTTCCTCTTCTATTGTTGCAACCATTGAAATCCTTTAATCTCCTCCCTCTTTGCTTCTTTCTTGCAACAATAGCTATCAATGAATGTTTCCCAATCTCCTCTCCTTCTACAATGACTGTTTATCTCTCCTTCTCTCTTTCCTCCTCTCTTTCTTCTTCTTATGTTTCTAATCACCTGCTTAAGAGTTCTTTTAGTTCTAATGTGAAGATAAATTTGATTTGTATTAGTTTTGTGTAACCTTAAATTTCTAGTATGTCGAGATTTATCTTGTTGTTTGGGGGGGGGGGCTTAGGGGGGGGGGGGGTTATTTAAGTTTGATGTTCAAATTGATCAAACTCTATATTATTTTGTATCATATAGATGTATTATTAATCTAAAATTATTTCCCAAGTTCTTTTAATTCGCTCTCCATAAGATGTCTTGTTAGAAGGTAGGGTAGATTACTTTAATTGATAATTGATTTAGTATTTATGGTGTAACTAAGTTTTATTAGGACATTCATCATCATACCTCGAAGTGTGTGCTTAGTATATTTTTTGCTTCACTTTTATAGGACCTTCGAGTTGAATATATGGTAGGCTTGGAGTTTCGTGTTTCTCGCTTAATGGTTAGCAACTTATTTATTTGGAGATAAATGTACCCTTCTTTGTTATGGGTGTAACCCATGTTATTTCTTCACGTTCTTTGATAATTACTTAGATTGCAAGTCATATCGTTATGATGCATTTTTTTTTATCATATACATATCCCTTTGTGAAGATCATTTTATGTTCATAATGAATAAAGTTGCATAGACATGTTTATTTTGATGTATGAATGTTCCGATTTCTATATACTGACTCCTACTATATACTTATTTTAATACATGCACTTCTGCTAAACGTCACGTCATCTTTGTAAATCAAGCCTATTATGAAATAACAATCGTCATATTAAAAATATAACACTATTGAAATGCATTTTTAAAAGAAAACTTGGAAATTATAAACATGTGTATAAGTTGATAGAACCTTGTTGGATATTAGCTAGCTAGGTTGATGTGCCCTTAGAGTGACAACTCTATATGAAATCACTAGAGTTTATTAGGTTGGAGTTTACCTTCTTGATGATGGATATTTGATAAACTGACTATAGCTATATACATATAAATGTATATATAGATATATAATTGTATATAAATTGAAAATAAGGAATAACTGATAAGCCATTTTGAGGCATGATGATACCTAGCCTGATTTTATTTATAAGCATTGAAATGATTTAGCTTTAGTAGCAGTTTGGCATAAAAAAAACTTATAGCACCAGCATACTATAATTTATTATAGGAGACATGATATGTGTCAGTGTTACTTTGATATAATGACTATATATTATTACTCTCACATTTTGATTGTTCATATTGCATGCCCCTTCTTTTGTTGTTTGTGCTTTGATAGATAATGGTTATTTGTTGGATTTGATTTATTAAACTCACTAATTATTGTCTCTTTATAGTAGGACTTGCCGGTGTGTTTAGCCAACCATAACCATAGGAGTTGATTTATCAACAATGAATTATATTTGGTATTTTATTTTTTTTACAGGTTATTATGCATTTGATATTGAGGGTTAGGTAGTTTCATTCATATTATTATTTTTCAAACTTTTTTTCTTATAATAGTAATATTTCTTTGGTATACTATTATTTGAATTTATATTAATAAAATGAATATTTAGTTTTCTTTCATTAATTGTCATGGTGTATTTGATTATATTATTAGTTTATATACTTTTGCTTCTTATGAGTAAAAAACATGACCTTTTAACCTTTCATTGTGCCCTATGTTGTCGGGGTGTACCACATTTTGGACTCAGGGTGTGATATATGATTCTTCAAACATCATCATCTAACTATAACCCTCTTACCATTGTCGCTCGACTACGATCTCTCGATCACTAATGCTTGATTAAGATCTCTCATGACTAGCATAGCTCTATTACTCTATTATAGTCTTCTAACCACCATCACACATTCACTATCCTCCATCCACTATCGTTTGACTACAACCCTCATAACATCATTGTCTGACTATGATCCTCCAATTATCATCATTTGATTATGATCTCCTAATACTACTCTTACTCAAATACAATCATCTGAATACCATCGGCCATCTATGGTCTCTTGAACACTATCACTCGACTATGGTCTTTTGTTTAGGGCTACAAATGAACAGAGTGTTCGACGAGCTACTCGTGGCTCAGCTCGATAAGAGATTTTTCATGTTTGTTTGATGAGCTAAATGAACGAGTTTGAACAATTTTTATAAATACTTGATAGCTAAATAAATAATTTTTAACAACTTGTAGTTTGATTCATTTATGTTCACGAACAGTATTGTTTAATGCTCATTAACAAGCTCGTTAAGAAATTCAATTAGAGCATGATTAGAGTTTTGAAACTAAGTATTATTAAATTAATTTTACTAATTTAAATATTTAATATTTTTTATTTATAAATCAGGCAAATCGAGCACTCTGTATTGTCTGCTCTCGCTCCGTTGTCCCCTCCCACTCTTCGCTCCATTAGGGGAAAAAACCATGTTCGCTTAGTCCCATGCCATGGAAGGGAATTCATATTACTTTATATAAACAAATATATCAAGAGCTTGTTTGAAAGCCGACAAACGGATTGGGTCAACTAAGCAGTATGGCAGACGGCACAGCAAGCTGGGACAGACGTGCCTGCAAGTATCTCATTTTAATAAAGATAATATATTTATTTTATTAATAGACTTAACTCATTAAATGAGCCGCTCGGTAATAGGCTTGACAAATCTAAATGAACTTAGATCGAATATGAACACAAGTTGAGCTTAAACAGAGTATTTTTAAACTATCTCAAGCTCGAACATGTATAAAAAAAAACTTGAATCTTATAGAGTCAAGCTCAAACACGATGTTGGCAAACGAGCTTGGGCTCGAACATGCTAAATCTTGGCTCAGCTCGACTCATTTGCAGCCCTACCATACACTATCATTTGATTATGATTTCTTGACCGCAGTCATCTGACTACAATCCTCTTACCATCATCGAGTAATTATAGTAATTGATCCACCATCGCTCAACTATGATCTCTTAATCATCATTTTCATGAAATAGTCTTTTGACCATCATTGCTCAACTACCATCTTCCAACTATGATCTCCTATCCACAGACGTCTTATTATTATCTTTTGACACTAATGTCTATTAACTTTGATGCACATCAATAATTATAAGATTGATCGATGCACGCTACCAACACCAACATCGATTGTATATTCAAGGGGGAGCCATGGGGACACATCCTCCTATCCCTATTGGATATTAGCTAGCTTGGTCGACAGACCCCCAAAGTGACGACTTTATAGGAAATCACTAGATTTCCATAGGTTGGTGTTTAACTTCTTGGTGATGGGTATTTGATAAACTGGTTATAGCTATATACATATAAATATATAGATATATAATTGTATATAAATTGAAAATAATCAATGATTAATAAGCCATTTTGAGGTATGATAATACCTAGTATGATTGTATTTATAAACATTTAAACGATTTAGCTTTAGTAGTAGTTTCGCAT